TGGGACACATACCATGACCTATAACCTGACCTAATCATGGCAACAGTACAGAAGAAAGTTGGATAAGAGAGAAAAATAGAGAGGTTGAAGGTAAATGCGTATGGAGTCTCATATATAAAAATACACGGCAGTACGGCGTTGTGTGTCTCACCTGTTCTCGCCTAGAACACCAAAGAGTTCCTGCCTTTTGTTGTGTACCAAGTTTTTAATATCCCTTACGTCTGGGAGATTGGAATACGGGCTCCCAGTCGTCCACACCCTCTGGACTGGCTTGTATGAAAGGGGGGTCGGCGGAGGCACACACGTACGTAACAGTTCCTGGATGCATCTGCTGGCACCAGTCACTAACTCCTTTGCCTTTTGTTTAAAGAAGTTCATCATATAAGCACTTTACTCCAAGTAGCTGTTCTTCTTAAATACTTTTTACCTCTGGATAATCTCTAGTAACTTGTCGTTCTCAGTTTTAAGACTGGAAGACCATTGACCATCACAAGACAGCGTGCTTGAGAGAGGCTGAGGAGCGAGGGGGGAGCGGGGGTTGCCGTGTTGATTGTGGTGACGGATTTTCTGCTGAGAGAGATGCGAGTCAGTTTATGTGCATGTTGTGATTAACAATTGAGATAGAAAATATTGCTAATCTCGACATAATTTTACCCACCAGTTCTACTACTTCTATATACACATATTTATGATATATAGGTGTGTTGGAACTATTTTATCTTTCAGTTGCCCATGAAATAAACCAGTTTGATGTAAGGGTCAGAGGTTTACCAGAATCCGTCCAAAAAGGACTTGTACACCTCCCTCATTGCCCGTCATCTCATCTTAGTGTTGGTCATCTTTTATTGTGACTTTCAGAGTTTTGCGAGTCAAATTTAAGTAAAACAGAAGAAATTATACAGTTATTAACACAATAACCATATTCAAAATGCATCATTCAAAGTAAAATATGAAAAATCTGTGTGAGAAGGAGCACTCCCTCCCGGCCCCCTTCCATGTTCCCAGACCTATACTATTTATGGTTGACTGCAAGAGTAAGACAGCAGAATATCATCTTCACTGTATAGTCCAAGTCTTGATGATGTTTTTTCTTACGTGAATCAGTTTGTTTGGGCAGTCGAAACCTTTCAGTGTTATGGGTACAGGTACACTAAGGTGCTCGTCCAGCCTTGCATTAGGTGCCATCTTATTATGTGTGTGCACCACCTATCGGGAAACATATCTCGAGCCGCCCCTCAGGTGTTCTTGTCATTCACTACTGCTTCCCCGTCCTCCACACCTGCCACTATTCCACTCCCCGTCCTCCACACCTGCCCCTACTCCACTCCTGCCCCTACTCCACACTGCCCTCCACCCACTCCCCGTCCTCCACACCTGCCCCTACACCACTCCCGTCCTCCACACCTGCCCACACCACTCCCCGTCCTCTACACCTGCCCCTACACCACTCCCCGTCCTCCACCTGCCACTACTCCCTCCACCTGGTCCTCCCACCTGCCCACACACCCCCCGTTCTCCCACACCTGCCCCTACACCCTCCCCGTCCTCCACCCTGCCCCTACACCACTCCCCGTCCTCCACACCTGCCACTACTCCACTCCCCGTCCTCCACACCTGCCCTTACACCACTCCCCGTTCTCCACACCTGCCCCTACACCACTCCCCGTCCTCCACACCTGCCCCTACACCACTCCCCGTCCTCCACACCTGCCACTACTCCACTCCCCGTCCTCCACACCTGCCTCTACTCTCGCCCACCGGCCACTTACCTTCCGGGTACATCACAATTTAATATACTGTTAGGTTGATGTTGATACACAGGGAGGTAATGAGAGCAGTAAGCACCGGTAATGGTCAACAGTACAAAGGCAGGGACCTATGATCCTACTAACCGAAATGAAATGAGGTAACCAGAGCCCGTCGCTATATATAGCTACCATCAAAACACTCTAGCCTAGACAAAACAACTCGGTGTATTTTCCGGGAATTACCCCTACCGCCTCCTCCCCCAATGCGGTTACTAGTGCTGACGTGCGGGCCATCGCCGTATATTTTCCAACTTATTCCGTTATATTAGAATCTCCCTAAAAAAAACTCGTTTCTATTAAACTGAAATATAAAATGTCTAAAAACAGTACTATTGACACGGCCAAAGTTTCCTTAAGTTTGTCAGAGTGAGAATGACCTTGGCCAAGGTCACCCAGACAGCGGTACTGTGCGGCATCAGCAAGAAGTTAGCCGCAGCTATTCGGTCTTTTGGGGTTAATCCTTGACACTGGGTCATGCCATACAGTTCGCTAACTTTGGGTGTGATTGTTGTGTTAGCGACTTTAAACGAACTCACACATAGATGGTCTTAGTGCCGGCCAGCTTCTAACACAAGGGGCAAGCAACCACTATTATATACTAAGGTCTCGAGAATACCCGCAGTTCACGGAGGCACAGTCGTTCAAGTCACCACCTGTACAAGTTTCCAAGACCACACAACTTCAAGTCCACAAGAAACATAATAATTTGATATCCAGTCGCTAATATCACTGTGTTCTTATCTATACATCTGTTTTTTTTTATGATAATAAGTTACAAGATTTTAAAAGAAAGTCAAGGAAGTTTTTAGATAATTTCTACCGGTCTGTTAATTCGTTACTGTTCATCACACGATTATGGGAATCTATGGAATTGCGTAGGCCGTCGTGTCGGTAATTCTTCATGTGGCTTCTCCTGAAACTTGACAGTGACGCTGATTGATTTATGCTGGGAATTATGGCATCCTGAGGGGGGGGGGGGTACATCGTGTGTTCGACTCGACTCGGGACGTATATTTACACGACGCGTCCACTTTCCTAACTTTAAAATTTACTTCTGATATGAAACTAAACATATTTAAGAAAAACACTTCATTAATGTAATTTGTACTTACCTGCGGTTAAACCCAAAACAGTACAGTACAGTATAAACCTTTATCGGCTCTGTTCACAGCAAACATGTAATTCATCAGTATTAAAATAATCAACGGAAATATTTAAGTCTGACTATATACTGTATGCTATTTTTATGAGGACGGGACTACAGCACCGTTTTAACTTAGCTCCTACACAGCACCTCAGAGGAACCACTTCAGCCCGACACACTGTGGAGGATAACTACTTAAGGCAGCGACGAAATTACTTGCAAGCCTTTTTTTTAAATCCGATTTGTCAACATAGCCAATCTGTCTTCCTGAAGCTGGCGCGACACTAAACTATACCGTACAAACATTAATATTCCTATAATTAAACCCACGGTAAAGGCAGAATAATTCTTATTATACAGAACCGAAAGTGTCGTCGTATCAAAGTTTGATAATACAGTAAATACAATTGAATGTCAAAAGGAGAGCATGCTTTATATTGTATTGACAAAGCTGATTTAACGTATCACCTACACAGAGACTCAGGTACTGTGTTCAAGTATCTGCCTACTGACGGTCTGTCAAGCCCAACAGCGCCAGCACTCAGTAAGCAAGAGGCGTGATGTGATTCTAGGATTGCCAGCTAGTGTTTAGGTCTACACTACTGTATGTTGCCATGAGCGATTTACACTGCATGCAGTTATCTGGTAACTTTTTAAAATAAATTAATATATGTATGCAATTCATTTAATAGTGGAAATAAATGAAAAGAGAAGGGACGGACTTTAATAACGTGAATTCAGGAGATCAGGAGCGTGGCGTGGTAATAATGAGTGTTGCTTGGCAGGCCGCCGCGAGGCACTGGTGCCCAACAGGTAAAAAAGTTTATGATCTAGTGTTGACTTATTTACTTCACTATTTGTTTGCACATTGCAGTCATCATTAATGTTATGTTGCCTTTGTTATTTATTGCATTTTTGTATATTCATCTTCGATGTAAATGCTATTTTTGCATGGCATTAATGTAGTGCTTCTTGTTATAGTTATTCCTGTTCAGTGGCACCCTACGCACTTGCTACATGCATCGTAAGTGCTTACTCTGTGCTTGACTATATTTCGCTATAAATAGAAGTGGGGAAACGTTGGAAACTACTGAAAATGAAGCTATAAGATGCATCACTGAAGCCTCTCGATGGGCCCAAGTCGTTAACCTCAGTATAGAACTGAACCCAACAGTAAAGATGCCCATTGCCAGCCAGCCCCCTCGTTACGTATCGACAAGAAAAAAAATGTACTGGGTGGAACTTCCGGAGTTAACTTATGACGTAACCAACCAGATGTAGAACAAGTTTGTTAGCATTGGTTCCCAGCTCCGATCGCCCCAGGCGATCATCAACATCCGCCTTCGTCGTTATTCAAAGAACTTCGGGAATCCACACAAACTTTTATATTTAGTTTTGACGATGTATTCATCACTTTCTTAACTTGATAATTCCCTGCAAGGATTTGGATACAGGGTTGTGTGTAAGACGCTTTATAAAGAACATAATACCCATTTACAATTAGTGTCCTCGGTAAAGTGACTTTTGAGCGAGCCAACCCTGGAGACAAAACACGTTGTTCACACACACACACACACACATACACACACACACACACACACACACACATACATACATACATATATAAATACATATAAAAACCTGTTCTACGTCACGGCAAACAAAACGGTCTGGATCCATGAGATGAGATCAAATGATGACAGCGGATTTTTGCTTTTACGTTATTACCTCTCGCCTTGATAATAATAAGTTGATACCTTCTCCGCTACACAACAGTTGGCGCTACTCTCGAGGTCAAGAGGAGGAAATACAATTAAACTACAGTAGATACATACTGTATATACGTGCGTGAAATATCAAAATATAAACAAGTTATGTACATCATTTTACCCCCAAAATACACCTTTTACATGGTGAAATTCTTACTTAATATTGTCTAATATATTTCAGAAAAGGAAAGTTGTTGACAAGGGAATATACGTGTGTCGACTGTCGGCATCACGAGCAGTCAGACTATCGAGCACATGAAGATTCTAGTCAGTATTGCAGCAGCGCTCCTAGGGGTAGGACATATTCATACCAAGTATTCACCACACATTTTTTTTTCTGTAAGTCACTCTAAGGATAATGGTGGTGAAAGTTGTACAGTCAAGCATCTTATGGAGTGTTATGGCACAAATTGCACAATACTTTGAAGTGAAATAGTATGGAGTTATAATGGTGCACTGTGATGCTATTAGTGTTGCATTGTTTGATGTGATGGAATAATATGGTGCTTGACTTATGGTGAAGATTTGTGGTTGTTACAGCAAGGTGTGATGGTAGGATGTGACGGAATGCACAGCAGGATGTGACGGTGGGGTGTTACAGCAGGATGTGACGGTGGGTGTTACAGAAACGCTACGGTGGGATGTTACAGCAAGATGTGGCGGTGGGGTGTTACAGAAAGGTGTGATGGTGGGATGTTACAGCAAGATGTGACGGCGTGGTGTTAATATAGAATGTTACAACAAGGTGTGACGGTGGGGTGTTACAGAAAGGAGGCGGTAGGATGTTAGTGCAAGGTGTGACGGCGTGGTGTTAATATAGAATGTTACAACAAGGTGTGACGGTGGGGTGTTACAGAAAGGAGACGGTAGGATGTTACAGCAAGATGTGACGGCGTGGTGTTAATATAGAATGTTACAACAAGGTGTGACGGTGGGGTGTTACAGAAAGGTGACGGTAGGATGTTACTGCAAGGTGTGGCGGTGGGGTGTTATTATGGATGTTACAGCAAGGTGTAACAGTGAGGTGTTACTATGGGCGTTACAGCAAGTGTGACGGGGTGTTACTGTAAGATGTTGCAGCAAGTGTGATGGTGAGGTATTATTGTGGATGTTATAGAAAGGTGTGACAGTGAGGTGTAACTTTGGATGTTACAGCAAGTGTGACGGGCTATTACTGTAGGAAGTTACTGCAAGTGTGAGGTATTATTATGGACGTTATAGCAAGGTGTGACGGCGGTATAAGAACAGCGTCAGGTGCATGATGGAGGGCAAACCAACCACTACAAACCACAACCGGAATACTAGAGTAGTTACCACTTGGGACTTTTACTACGACACACTATTAAGCTAAGAGGAGTCTGATAATGCGGAAACAGTGCATAGGCATGATGAGGAAGCCTTCTGTTTGTTGTTTTCATATATTATACGTGCAGTGAAGATTATTATACTTGTGTAGTTATATTACGTTATACCCTCGCTGATGCTTTTAGGCAACTCAGTCCCGGGTCCTGCTAATACATTAGTACACAACGCAACGGATTGACTTACTACGTTTTGCTATTTTGTCAAGGTTTTATGTTGTGACAAAGTTAAAGCTATTGAACCGTGCTTAATAGCCTAGCACTTGAAGCGACTAGAAAAAAAAATCACAACTGACTTGGCGCTCACATGTTTGGGATTCAAGCCTCAAGGTTAGTGTTGACGTTCTAGTACAGGTATTCAGGAAGTCAGCACACGTTGTTTCTTTCATGATGACGTATGTAGAAAAAGTGGACGGTGTTGACGACATTTGGGTATTTACACATTGTCTACAGTCGAAGGAAGCGGAAATCACACGAGTGGCAGGATTCTCAACAGGATCGTTACTCAAGCTAAAACGTAACCATGCCTGCGAAAATTGCTTAGAAATTGAGGTGTGACTTTTCTCTCCAGTCACAGGTAAGGCCGTGAAAAGATGAAAACTCTGTGAAGCTTCAATATTCGAGATACAATAGGCGATAAACTTCAGGAAAATCACCTAGGGAACATACTGTATCTGTGTTTTCTCCTGATATAATGTATTGGGCATATACTGTGTAACTGTACTGTAGCCTTACATAATGAACAGGTACATTATATATCACAATTGTAAGATGGTGGGTAATACATTGCTCGCCTCCTGCCTAAAGTCACTGGTTCACCCCACGCTGTAAGTACCAACCTTTGCAGTTGGAGAAATGAAACGTTTGAGTACAGTACCGGCCTTACTGCCTCCTTGTGTACCGAAGGAACAATATACAGTGTGCTGTATCCACTCTGCCCCTAAAGGGCCGTCATCCCTAAGGGTTCCACTTTCCGTTTCACACTCCTAAGAGAACATATTGCAGACATAGTTATCTCGCTAATTTAGTGGGATATACTATACTATATGTACAGTAACATCATAAGGTCATTCTAAATTCAAAGGTTATGAACTGTAGGGTTTTTTGTCCAGAGACTAGAGTGACGAAGATGGACTGTCTGCTGATCTGTCCTTCATACGCCAGTGGTTCACCTCAAATATTTGTAAACCAAAAGATAAATAAAGAACATCCAGTTAAAATAAACTGTTAAGTATTTGTGCTGTAGTTTAAAAAATTTCCAAATAAGTGCGGCATACAGTACTTGCTCCAAGTGGAGGAAACGTTACCAAGGAATTTGAGAATTTTGGTTTAGCCTATCCAGAGAAAGAGGAAACAGAAAAAATGTGATCATGTGAAAATCAAGTAAATTGTTTTAAAATCTGATCAGATCATCTATAAATGCGTATTAAGAAATCTGTGACACCAGTCATTTACGTTGACAAGATTTTGCGTAATACTTTAACGAACCGACAGGTCGTCAAAAGGGTGATAGGTGATAATACGTGGTCGTGTGGGGTCAGAAAGAATGCATTTTATTATGACAGAATCTGGGTACATTCCCGATACCGTTTTGGATGTTAACTTTTGTTGTAAGTTAAAGAAGCTAAGTTAATAGTGTCCTACCATCATCAGTCAGGGGATAAAGGACGTAAGAACTTCAGATAAGACGGTCCGGATCCTGGCAAACAGTACCACGGTCTACAGTGATTGTTATAACGAGGGTGGAACTGAAAGAAAGTAGAAACTGAAAATCATCTTGTTTGATATGTTGTCCAGTTTCTCTAGTGGACATATAATACGAAAGTTGAAGAATTATAATTATTGATTATTAATAAAGAAATGCAATGAGACAAAACAAAATCTTAAAATATACCACCAAACTTTAGTAATGCAAATGTTTACCTTAGTTGGCTGATTGCTGGGCTGCTACTGACGGCCAATTCATTTATGAAGTTAAAGTTAACCAGAAAAATTCTTAAGAGAGGAGAGGAAAATATTTCTAAATTTACCTACCTTATTTACCTAATGGCCACCCACTAGAGATGGCCATGCCGAGGGAAGGGAGCCAGTGACCTGTGTAGGATCCCTTCATTGTTCATGACCTTGTCAATGGCTGCTTTGAAGCCCAGTATAGCTTGTGATTCCACAGCTTGGGCTGGTAGACTGTTCCATAGGTCTACCACTCTGTTTGAAGAAGTATTAACTTATATTTGTTGTGCACTTGACGAGTTTGAAGTTATGTCCTCTCGTGTTGGTGGTGCGTGACATCACAAAGAAATGGCCCGGGTTCACGTCTTTCATATCTATCAGCGTTTTGAGATTTTGAATGTTTCAAGGCGTTCTGCCATATTGTGCCTTGTCTGAAGAGTTTATATATATATATATATATATATATATATATATATATATATATATATATATATATATATATATATATATAAAATCACACGGGCTTAAAGGAAACAACGGAGTACTTTATTTCCTTTATTCAAAACTTCTGAAGACGTCTTGAACAAAGACATGTGATTTTATCAATATTTATCTTATCCACGTTTTCATTGTGGGCCACATATATATATATATATATATATATATATATATATATATATATATATATATATATATATATATATATATATATATATATATATATATATATATTTCATGCGCAATGCACACAGTGTATTACTATATATATATATATATATATATATATATATATATATATATATATATATATATATATATATATATATATATATATATATATATATATATATATAGATATATAAAAAGAAGTTCTTCCTTGTGGTTATCAGCATATACCTAGATCACGCGCACCTACAGTGATTTATATATATATATATATATATATATATATATATATATATATATATATATATATATATACTGTATATATGATGGAATCAATTTAACAAACTTCATTTATTTCCAGATTGTTATGTGGCTGTCTCACGGTTTCTGTCACTCAGTATATACTGTATGGTCCATCTGATGCAAGATGACTAGATGGTTTATCTTGTGTAATTGGTGAACCCAGAACCAAGTAGTCATTTACATGTAGTAACTGGCCTGGCTAGCCATTACAGGCAGAAGGTTATCTACAATTATTGAACTGAAAAACTATCTCATAACATTTTCCTTGACTTGTCAACCTATTTACTTCTGCATTTACATAAAAATAAGTGGCATTGTAAAAGTTAACTGTGGTATATAGATCATCAAATAAGTAACCTGTTTGGAGCAGTGCTGATACAACATGCTCAATACTAAGCCTTTGGGTGGCACTGCACTAGACTCTTCACTATCCCAACTGTAAAGTTAGTTGCACTGGACGTGAACCAGTGGCCCTTAAGACAGGAGGTGAGCTTTGTACCCCATCATACTAAAGTACCTTACTAAAAACAAGGATAAAAATGGATAAATATATCCTGCTAGGTGAAATTTCATCAGCTCCCACAGATAGTGTCTCCCTTCTCTCATGGAAATCGTCACACTCTACTATGTCTTCAGAAGTGGTTACATCAATGTTTCCCCCATCTGTATCTTCATCATCATCTGTAGCAGAGGATCCACTTCCAGAATCACAATCTTCACCAACAGCACTTTCCACACATCCAGTAAATCCTTTAACTAGTAATTCATCATCAGTAGTTCGTCACCTCTCGACATCATCATCATCGTCCACCTCACTCTCCCTAAGTTCTGTATCAACAAGCCTCACCAACCTTTCCATATCCTCTGTGCCTTCCGTCAGTATCACCGAACCACTAGTAGAATCAGGCATTCCCCCAATACGTACAAATTCGTCAACTCCGTCACCACCAGTTTCTTGCCGTCGGAAAACGTCTCCAACTTCGCCTTCTCAACGGTCTACGTCAAGAAGTCCCTCTAAATCTGCAATTTCAACTCTGGTTCAGGGCTCTGCTAACACTGTCATTGCTGTATCAGGGTAAGTTTGTTTCACCTTAGATGATGAATTGTTTTTGCATCATATGCATAATTTTAAGTTCTGTATTGGTAACATATTCAAACTATACTAAGCTTTTGCGTGAGCTATTAGCATGGGATAACGGCACAATCGTGAGGTCAGGGGAAGGTGGGACATAGAAAAGGTTGTAGGTACGCAACAGGAAATAACTGCACAGTGTTTTGGTGTATAGTGTAAATTTTTTAAGGTTTTGAAAGTGATTTATATTGCGTTTCTGGTGCCTTATTTATATACTCTTGGCATATATCTGTGTGCTGGTATAGAATTCTACCTGTAGGTACGTAGGCTAAGCTGTTTGATATTTATTATATTTATAGGTGGTGGGGTTTGCATTTAAGAGGTATTTTTATATTAGAGGGAACTTTATATGTGATGCTGACTTCTTGAATAAGCCTGTTGTGTGTCTTCATTATCCAATATAATTTATTCAACAACCCCCAAGCATATGTTAATTTATATGCCATTTTTGCTGACTTGTTATATTTTCCTCACTTGCAATATAAAAATAATAATAATTTTACCATTGTACACGACCTATGAGGCATCCTTTAAACTCACTTCTTAAAGTATGCTGGTGTTTTCATTGTTAGCTACTTCTGTACCTTGAATTTTAATACAAGAATATTTTCAGTAACTGATACTTGCAATAAGATAAATTGAAGTCTCATTATAGACTAAAATTTACAACATTTATTTCACTAACTTAAAGATAGTAATGGGTTTAGTTTAATTGTGTTTTACATCAATGTGGAAGATGATATTTTTTTAAAGTATTGTACCGTATGTAAACCTTCAAAACAACTGCCACATGTCCGTGCTCATAGTAGAGTATGCATGTGATTTAATTAATTTTGGAAGGCTGGTTGGTGAACTGATATTTAAGAGTACTGTATCTTGGTTCCCAACTTCCTCGCCTGATACCTCAAGTTAATACCCTGTACTGTCATCTCTTTTGTAAAACATCTCTTGGTTTAGTGACTTTTTTTTTTATAAATTTGTTATACTGTATTTTATGCATGGCTTGGAAAATTACCTTGTTAGATAAGCCAGATGTTGTTAGACATAGGCATATCTTGTGAATAATGTATCTTGCTTTTTTGTAGGTTAACATCAGATGCTTTCTCAACCAAGGATGACAACACACTCAGCAGTCCTCAAGAATATTTTAGTGATATTGTAAAACTCTCAAGACACAGAGATCTATGCAGAGACGACCTCCTTTCCCAGATCGGCCGAGAGAGGTACGTTCATAATGTGTTGTGCAGCAGTTTGTACAATAATGCAATGAGGGATTAATGAGTACTGTATTACATGTCTTCTCTTCATCACCCCTAATTCCATGCAAAGCAAAGGATCTCTACATAGATCCACCAACCAATCCTGTCTTGGGCTTCTAGTACGGTCAATCAGTTGTTTCCTGCTCCTCTCTTCATAGTTTTTAATTAGATAAAGCATGATAGTATACCAATTCTTCTTGTTCCTTCAGGAAACCCAACCACAGCGCCTTTAATTATAATTAAAGGATAATTATCGTTTTGTGTTATGTGAAGGGTGTAGACTAACAATCTTCATCAACACACAGTATGGTTCACCCAGGCTTTCTTTCCATGTACAATGACTGTTTTAGTGTTAATTGTTAACCTATGAAATCTCTAGATCTTAGTCAGTACACCCATTATCATGCCTTTTTGATTCTAATTCATCTTCAAAAGAACTTGAAAATGTTTGGATTCTTATACAAGGTATATAGTGATATAAGTAGGTTGAATCCATTATATAAAATACAAACAGAAATTTTGGCAAATTTGATCTTCTGTGCAAACTACTTTAGTCTGGTTAATGTGAAATGAGTTAAATCTATCTGCCGTAAAAAAGCACTGACACATTGTACTGTCTTATTCTTGCCGTCCTATACCAGTAAATTGCTAAAACTCGGCTGTAAAATCTTCGATACCTACAATTAGTAGATAGACTAAGAATGTCATTTCTTCCCATATTAGAGGACATTCGATCTACAAGAACCATGTGCAACAAAATCACTTCCTCCTAGTCTATGTGGATACAGAAAGGGACCGAAAACTGGGCTTGAAGCTACGGAGGTTGTTAGAGGAAAATCAAGAAGGGATCATCGTGAAAGGCCCATGGAATATTTGCTTAGGAGATTTGATATTTAAAAGTTGGGAAGAGTTGTCTGAATCTTCCAGAGTAGTGCTGGTGATACTGTCTAGAGCTCTTTTCGAAAATAAGATGCTTACCAATTGTTTGCCAGAGATTCTTCGCAGTCATCGAACAGTTCCCCTTTTCCTGGATCCTATAACACCAAAGGAAATACCAGCAAATTTAAAGATAATTAACCATTTATCTGGAAGTGCAGTGTATGAAGACACTTGGAATGCTGAAAAATATGCAAAAAAATTATTAACATCATATAGTTATGCAGGGCATATTCTCTGTGAAATTCAACTATTAGAACATTTCATAAAAGAGACCAAAGACAATCCTGGTTATACTTGCCTGTGTGGAAACTGTTGAAGGTAACAAGAATATTGTGGAGTCATGTTTGTTTAAAAAACAGACCAATAGCCAAAGTTATGACTTGATGACATAAGCATACTTATATTGGTAAGTCTTAAAGTTCATTGATAAGGTGCTTAAAAAAAAATGAGTCCAGTACGTACTAAGGTTATGTATAGGAAAATTCAGTAAACTGCTATAATTTTTCTTTATACAAAATTTCATGACAACAGTGTAAAATATAAGGAACATATGTATAGCCTAGAACAAGGCTGGCGAACCTTTTTGAGAGCGTTTGCCCAAATTTTTTATAATTTTCTGAAAAAATCTCTCGTATGTCCATGGGAATTTTGAGATGCAAATTATTATTATCATTAATTTTATATTATAATTATTTTATATATTATTATATTATAATTAATATATTACAGTAAACCCTTGGGAACTTGGCACATATGGGGCTCTGGCCTTGCTGAGTCATCCCAAATTTCAGCATATTGAGGCACTTCCCCCCTCCTACAAAAATACAACAGTGAAATTTTTTTGACCCATACATGTGTATATGTAATTATTAAATGTAAAAAAGTAACACTTACCAGCACTGCAGGCAAAGAATGAAGCATCATAATAGGAGACACAGTTGCATGGTAGGTGACACAGAGGTATAGTAGGTGACACAGAGTTATGGTAGGCGATGCAGGTGGCCAGATATGCCAAGATTTTCCCTGATAATTTTACATATCTCGACATTTCCTGAGTTATACTAATACATTCTGAGACCATATCCATGCCAAGTTATATGAAATTCCCAGTTATCAAATGCTGAGTTATCGAGTGGTTATTGTATTGTTATTTTACAAAATTATTAGAGAACAAAAAACTGTAATTGAAAGCATTCTTAGAAAGTGTGTTTAGACAACCATTTATTACTTCTGAATTGATTTAAATGGGACAGTTTTAGGAATTACTTGTTATTTATAACATAAAAAATGGATTTTTTTGGGGGGAGGGGGGGGGGAGGAGCTGTCGTGTTGCTCAAAAATGTTCTCTCAGGGACAAAAAGGACAGTACGGTACTGTAGAAGGGTTTGGACAGAAAAAAAAGAGAACAAATGAGAAAAGAAATACATAGCCCTGCATCCCCCTGCACAAGCTGGGGCCAGGTGGGAGCCTATATCCGCCTAGTACACAATGCATGAAAGCAGTACCGTAAGGCACCAATTACAAGTTTGTATATTAAAATAATTACTGTATTACATAATTTTTATTATGATTTGTTTTATTTTATAGTTTTATTTGCTATTACTATACTGTATTCATCTTGCTTTACTAATACAGCACAAAATTATAACAGGAAGATTGAAACACATAAATTCAAGCATTTTAGGATGCCTGTTCAAAAAATTAATAACCAATAATATTTTTAAAAATATAATTGAAAAATAACATTTATAAATACTATTACCTGATACATAAGCAACATAAAAAATGAGTGAAATTAATAAAGTAACAATGATAAGCCTTTGTTCATATTACAGTTTAAAATATAAAAAAATCGAGGAAAGGTAAATAAACATATTTTACAATTGGTGAGACTTTTGCTGCTTCACCAAGGATAACAGATATTTTATACCAGGTTTGTATTTGGTAGTTTTGAGAACTATGCATGTAGCACTAGTTTTTTTTTTAAGACTACTCAGTTAATTAGAGTTAACAAAGTTCATCACTGAAAACAATGACTCCCTCTGGAATTACAGTTTCAGAACTTCATTTTCCACAATTTTCATTGCTGATCTGGTCACTAACCAGGCTCTTTCAATATTTTCTAGTTCAACTCTAAGTCAACAAATATTTGCCTCTAAATTGAGCTGCTGTGTAAATGAATCAATGACATCTCAAAATTATTCAAATCAATCCACTGCAGAATTCCCAAATTCAGTTGTCTAATATTACACTGTCTGCACATTTTATGAATTTTGCAGTTTTTTCAAATGATCTGAACTTGGTAAATCTTTAAGAAAATTGTTCGTTAGTTAAAAATTGCATTTGAAGGCTCTGAATGTCTATTTTTCCAAAATTTCAAGATCAGTCATGTGCTTTTGGGGGATTTGGAAATATTTAAGTGTCATTATAAACAACAACTTTAAAAAAAATCAGTTTTATTTCAAAAGCTTTTATGTTATCAAATACACAATCTACTGTTTTGTCAAATCCCAGAAATTTGGTATTCAAGTCATTTAAATGTGAAAAAAAATCTGTAAAAAAAAACATCTTATATATCCACACAGTGTCAGATAATTCTTGAAAAGAAAATTTTTCATTTGTCAAAAACGTATGAATTTCATCCCAACATTCTCAACAAATCGTTTAAGAAGAGAACATCGACTAAACCAATGACCATTATTGTACATACAGGTATGTAGTCCTTTGTACAACGAATTCACCTCACTCAGTAAATTCTGAAATTGCCTTTTTTTTAAGCATGCAGAAATAAATTTGACTACAGTAAGTCATCGCTTAATGTCGTGGTTCCATTCCTGAAAACCGCGACGTTAAAGGATTAAATTTTTCCCATAAGAAATAGATAAAATACGGGAGTTACGTTCCCATGCCTTCCTTTGCCCCATAAAATACATTACATATACAGAAATTCGATGGCAATTTCATAGAAAATAGTATATATATGTAAATAAACTAAATCATTTTGTATTGTACTCACTGATGGGCGGAGGTGGTGGAGTGAGTGGGTGCTGGTCCAGATAGTACGCACTGTTGTGGGAGTTAGACCAAGTCCAACGCACGTTCACCTTTCTCAAAACGGTTTAAAGCCTCCATTTTCATAGCAAGGCTAATGGTCTTACGTTGCTTCTTCACAACACTAGCATCAGTAGCACTTGATGGGCACTTGGAAGCCATTTCGAATGGTTAGAGTACAGTATTAAGAGCAAAAACACTTAAACACGCACGAACGCTGTGGAAGCCTAACAAAGACTGGCGAAGCTGTGATGTTCCGCAAGTGAGAGAGTAGCGCGCCAAGAAGAGAGAGTGATGCGCTGTACAAAGTATGATGTTATACTGAATCGGCGGGACGTTATCCGAATCATGGGTATCTAAAGAATAGCAACATTATTACGAAACAACATTATCGGGGGCAACGTTAAACGAGGACTTACTTGACTTTGGTTACAATTTTCATCACATCTTTAAGTTCCTTCAGGGATTTTAAAGTGTTTTGTCATGTGCTCTCCCAGCTGGTGCCAGGCTGGCATGAGAAGTCTCTTGTGAACACTTCTCACTGCTCCTGGTTTGTATATAATGTATATATAATCAAAATATAAAAAATATTCACTTAGCATCATTTGGTATTATTGATCATATAATCATGTATGAAAAAAATAAAATAAAGGGACACACACACACACGGTATTCAGTTCATTTTACCGTCATATCTTCTGGGTATCAAAGTGGAATACTGTACTGTACTGTACAAATCATAAAAGCATATGTTTAGTACTTTATTAGTATTTATTTACTAGTACTGTACTGGGGCTTAGTAAATTAGTCTTCTCAGGGCAGAATTTTCTAGAATATACTGTACATAGTCATACTGTATATACTGACATATTGTATTCCCCCATTCAATTTGCTGTACTGTACATGGTTATGGAAATATTGCTAATAGTGTAACTTGAGAATCACTAATTTGTAAAATTAATTTTTTTACCAACAAGTTTATTTGTAAAAAAAAAAAAAATTCTGCTGTATTAGAAAGTTATTTGTAGTGGTTCTTGTGTTTTACAGGTATTATATTCTGAAATTTGCCTCAGACAGACAAATGAATGCATGAACTGATGAAATCCATTTCTGTATCATCACGTAGATGTTAATTGGAGAAAACAAGAATGAGAATGATTGGTACAATTTCTCATCCAACTAAAGTGATCATAACATTGTACAGTATTTAGTGGATAGCATGTAATGTTTTTTTCCCATGAGATACTGATACAGGGTCCCCATAACCTTTAGTTAAGCCTAATTGAATAAAATGTTTCAGGAGCTCTCATGCTGGGTTACCATACCAGAACCTTCACAATAATTAGTATACTGTTACAGGTAAAGTACTGTATAGTAATTAGATTTGTAGAATATTAGGGGTCATGTAATGTATGTAAGAACTGTGATGAGTACTGTACAGTAAATATATACTGATTGGTTAATAAATACCTGTGTAAATACAATAAGTGTTAAAGTGATTGTCCTGATATTTGTAAATCCTAGTGGATAATACAAATTGTAGCATAATAGTTAAACCAGAGTCACCAAGAATTTTAATATGAACTTTCTTGGACATATACACATGGATATAGATATAATAGACTAGCAAAGTATCTCTTGTTTGAAACCAGTACACTGGATTAACAGTTCAGTGACATATATAAAATAAGCTAATACAGTATAGAGTATTATCAAAATGATTAATTCTTAATACCCCTGGCCCATACACTGCATAGTAAATCAAAAGACTAGCTAACCTGATTGTTGTACAATGTTATTAGATTCTTCCCTAGACTATCAAGCAGTAGAACCTATCTCAGAATAGTGCAAAATTTGTGAGTTTTTAAATATAAATAGACAATAAGCTAGGAGAAGAACATGTTCAAGAAATTAAATTTTCTGTTCATAACTTTTCAAAATTGATATACTGTATTTTATCTGGGGTTTCACTTCTCAAAAGCACCAGACTGTTTAAATGGAAAAAAAATTTCACTACAGGTCAACAAAAATTAATGCTCGAGACTCCAACAAAAAGGGTAAAGTGTCACAACTACAGGTACAGTATAATAACAGCCTATTTAAAAACAAACAAACAGTCACTAATCCATAGTCTCGATTTACAGTACTGTACTATGTAACCAGTGGAGTCATACTCTTGAAAAAAAGAAGTCTGAAGTTGCTTTTGAAAGTAAACGGAGTTCAATTCACGAGGGAGCGAAGGATGGAGCAGGAAAAGAACACATGATTTGTTCACTATAGTGTGCCAAATTGAGACAACAATCAGAAGTGCTAGACCATCATCCAGAACTTTAGGACTTTGAAGATCATTAACCTATTTCAATTAAATTCTTACTTTAATTGGGAGCCAATACAATTCAGTTAGAAATAAAATAGCGGGAGTTCTTGATGGAAGTAAACAGCTAACCAGTTAATGTATCCAAGACAAACTGGACCTCAAATATATGCAAGCCAAGCATGTAAAAGTACCAAGAACTGTTAATCCAGAAGACTCTTTACAGTGTAAATAATCTGAATGTTATTTTTTTTTTGCCTGCAAGTTAGTATATTTGTGGAATTTAAACTTGTTTAAGATGATCCCCAAAATTTCTGATTGATTCAAGGGATTGCAGCCATCCTCCTCCCACACCCAGTGCAATGTAATCCAAATACAGTAATGTATTTATATATAAGGGTATACCTCTGGCAAGGAAGGCTCTTTACTTTGAAATTTGTGTTTCCCCTCTGCTTAAAAAAAAAAAAAAAAAACTACAATATTGGAATCCAACAAGAATGCTTCACTGTGGTTTTGTTTTTATTTATAACATGTCGCCAGTTAGCTGTGGCCTGTGAAATTGCAATGCACGTTGCCACAGTTACATATACGTAAATGAAACTATGAAAGCTGTACAAAATAATTTCAATACTCTGTGATTTAGAAATAAAGACAATATAATATAAAACTATAAAATAAGAACTGTGAAGAGCAAGGGTGTGTGTTGTGTATGGGACGTGAATGTATGTGTGGAAGCAGTGGGCATTTTGTCCATAGTGCATCTTGCAGCTCAGCTAGTTAGGCCTATTTCAGTTTAAACACGTACACCTCACAACCACCTCTGCTGTAAGTTTACTTTATCCGCTTTACCACCAACTGTCAAGTTAGATTTCATCAGGGAACATTTAGGAAAAATAATGTAAGCATGAAAAAAGCAAAATGATACAAGTTAGTGTCCACACTGCATCGGTCTCAGGAATGCTGGTCGTTTGTTTGGCTTCAACACTCGCCATTGCAATGCAGTTCAGCTGGGATGCTGCCTCTGCCGATTTCTAACAACGGGGCTCCCACACTCGCTCCTCCACTCAGCGTGCAAACTTTGATGCAGGAAGAAATTTTTATTTCCTTTTAAGTTTGTGACCTTACGATAATTATTTCGCTTTGCACGTTCTGTATGTAGGATTGCGAGTGCTTGTAATGTAATAAATAAACAATTATGTTTATCTACTGAAAACTACAAGTTGAAAAATAAGCATACCATAGGTAACAGCCTGGCCTGGCAGCAAGAAGGCTAGGAGGATGTGGCTACAGTGGTAAGTCTAACTTGGCCACAATGCCACCAACGATGTTAAGACACAAATGAAAATAAAATTCTGTAAACTGGAGATATGGTAATTAAAAGTAAAAATGTATTTAAGTAAACAATAACACGAAACTCTGGAGTGGGACAAGGTAAAACTTATGACTACTGAGACCACAACTGCTGGGGGATTCATTAGCTTATGGGATACCAATGCAGGGTGAATTTTTCTTCCATTTTTCAGAAAAAGTGCATATTATATGCCCTAAAATACTGTATTTCCTCTTTTAACACCTGGGTCTTTGTCACCCGCTGGTTCTTCCAATGTGACGTCACAGCACACGCACAGTGCAGCAGCCACACACTATGAGTCAGCTGGGTGGCTGCACTGTGTCGCCCAAGAGGATGGAAGGAGCTATTTTGTGTACATAAAGTGTATGTTATTGTATTCTATGATATGCTATTCATCAGTTTGTTTATTATAGTAATTTTGGTTAATTTTTGGTGTATGCAAATTAAAGAATAACAAAGGACTGGGGCCTAATCCCAGAATGAAGCAAATTTATGAACATATCCACTTCATTGCCAGAAGTATACCTGTCTGTATACAGTCTCTCCTTGACTTACGACAACCCGGACATACGACGGCCATGGTCATATAAAATATTTTTCACATTACGTATTTTTGAGTCCCGATGTTAGTGATTGTGCTGTGTACTGACAAAATTTTCGTATGTAATTCTCTTTAAAATGGCTGGCAAGTGTAAAAGTGAGAGTTCTCGTGGTGCTGAGAAGAAAAAGAGACACCCTTTTTAGAATTTCTATGCATTATTTTCGCCTTTTCGACTTACGACCAATTCGACTTATGACCTGATCGTCGGGACGGAACCCCATCGTAAGTCGAGGAGAGACTGCACAGTATATATATATATATATATATATATATATATATATATATATATATATATATATATATATATATATATATATATATATATATATATATATATATATATATACTGTATATATATATATAATTATGAATAATTTTGCACAGCACACAGTTAAAAGAAAAAGCGCCAATAAAACCTCCAAAGAGAATTTAATTTTATTCAGATTTATTAATCATACCACAGCAGTCCTAAACATTCACTCTTAACTTTGGTCTCGTTTATTGTGTGCAGGTGTAACTCTTCAACCATTGCTACACGCAGCAAAAATAAATTGACTTCATGCACTCATGTTTCCTTAATGGTTTGATGAACTATTCTAACTTAAATGTGAAGTGGTATACATAGTAGTTACGCTCACAGAAACTCAAGTGCAAATAGTATATATAAAATAAAATTTTCTGAGCAACAATCATAAAGAACAAATGACAGCAAATAAAGGGAGATTGTGAGGCTACTGATTTCAGTCACCCAGCTTCACTGTGGTGTGGGTGAGGCTTGTTTTCTTGTGTTAAAAAATAAATATAATTTTTTCAGCCTGCATTCACAGTTCAAACAACTGTATAAACAGCTTTCCATTTTCACCATTTAATACAGTATTCCCTTGGTATTGGAGTTCTATTAAATTCTAACTTGTCAGATACCATTTTAAGTTTTACTGATGAAACCAAACAATGTGCCACTAAGATTAAGGGTAACTTCTATGAAGACTGTGAACTCCACCTGCTTTAGGGAAAAATATCATAGCCTGATTTATCTTATAAATCATCTATAACGTCAATACTAAGCCACTTCATTGTCAAGTACATAATGAGCATGACTTATGAGGTACACTATTCTTCCAAATATGCTATGAAAGTGCATTTATCACAGTGAACTTTGATAAGTAAATTAATATTGCTACTAGAAAATGAGCATTCCTTGAAATCTAACTGCATTCCAATATTTCTTCATCATATTTCTAATCAGATTCTCAAGCTGCTAGATATGAAAAGAACATGTACACCAGAAATTACTTAAGAGTGATACAATATAAACTAAAAAATTTCAACAAGGGTTGATGCACAACAAAGCCCCCATTTAGTTAAACTTAAATGTATTATTATCTAAAAATTATTTCCATAAAATTAAATGTAAATCTGATACCACTCAAAAGTTTTTATTCCGGGTGTTGTATGTTTGTGTGCGTGTATTTGAGAATGGGATGGGGGCAGATTCATTATGAAGAGTATACCAAACTGTAGTAAAATAAAAATTATCAAACTGGCTAGAAAACAGACTGCCTAAGCTAGCCAAATCCTTTTCCCCCTAGTCCCTAATGGCATGATGTATGGACATTTTTTTTAATATAAAATATTTTTTCTTACCACTGAAAACACTAACTTTTATTTCGTCAAATTCATAAAAACTGATTTTCTTCGGAACAGAAAAACATGTTCTAATTACAGTACACAAATTAGACAACTACATATCAAACACAGCATAATGAGTCTGTCATCTTGAGGATAGAACACCAACGGTAAATTAAAGAAAATTTACTTTGTGGGGTTGAAAAAGTATACCACACTGTCTACTCGACTTAAGGGATAAAATACTTTGTGAGGTAAAAAGTATTCCAGTTATATGCCCCATTAGTTATGCACACTTGTTCTTGAGAAGCACATCATTTGCTAAAATATATGCAGTTGATATATACAAGACAAATCATTGAGAACCATTTATTCTGAGAATTTTTTTAATATTATATAATTTATCAATGTTTTTTGTCCAAATCTAAGTTATACCATTCAAATGAGAAAAGTTCATCATCAATACTTTAAAGTCTTACTCCTACAAAAGAAGAGTGCACAGTATAAGACTAAAGTGGCCATCCATTCTCAATTCTATTAGTAAATCCACACATAAATATAACAATCTGTACAAAACTCCTAGTTTAATATATAGATCAGTAGCCCCTTAAGCCATTGTAGACTTTTCCTATGGAATCTTGTTTCAATATCTTCGTAAGAGCTGAAAAGAATGATTTTATTTCATTAATACATAATATATTCATCATTTTAAGATGTTCTATAGACTGAACTAAATTCAAATTGATGTTACTTGAATACTGTATACAGTATATAAATTGGCCATTAATCTACTGTACCTTTGATGGGATGCTAGAGTAGTGATAGATACACTCTTAACAAAGTTTCATGAATAGCAAATGAACTTTTTTTTTTAAGCTTGCAATGTACCTTATCTTGTATACCCTTTCACAAGATAATATGTAGAACTACATACATTTAGTGTTAAGAAAATCTAGAACATACACGTATGGATGATCCCGTTCCCCACCATAATCAATTTCTGCATATGAATGCTCCACTGGCTATAGATACCTTAGGCCTTATGTAACCCTGAACCACTCACCACAGTGGCAGCTAACCATTGAGACCATGTGGTTTCTAGCAAAATGTGCAGCAGAATATTACTCAGGTTATTTTAGTAATTAACTGAAGAAGAAAAAAAATAATGAAGAATACTCTTTGTAACTCATCAACACTTCTTCACCCCATTGTTATGATTTGCCCTGGAAAATTTCCCCTCCATCCAAACTTCTTAGCACCGATAGAGGCTTTTGTTTCTTCTCATAAATATGATCCTTTACCATTTTATGAGAACAGCTTTGGAGGTAATAGACATTATGTTTGTACTGTATATTAACTTGTGAAAGGGTTAACAAGAGTCCCAACAATGGCAAATAATACTCCCTCCCTTACCTTCTTTATCTTCTGCACCAAATTCATTCTTTGGGAACTCCACGTCAAAAGTAATGTAGAGAATGCCAAACAGATTATTATTATCGTAATTTGGCATACCTTCACCCTTCTTACGAATTCGAGCACCAGGCCAAGTTGGTTTCTCTCGTACAATATGTACCTGAAAAGGTAAAATTTTCATACTCCGTGGAAGTTATGTATACTGCAGTATGCAAGGTTGTTGGTCTTCAGCTCCAATTTAAAACTAACTTTGCCAGTTACAAAGAATAGAGGAAAAGGAGTATCATTATAATACTCTACTCCCAATAATTTCTAAATATCTTAATTTTCATATAACCCTATCAAAGAATTCAAGAATGCACAATGGATAGAAGAGAAATGTCACTTTCCCATTAAGCATTCACTACTCCAAGGATAAATAGCTTCATTTAAAGATAACATCTTTCCTTCCAGTTTATAACAATGTCAACATGTCATAGTCACCACATGAAATGTTAACTAATTTGTGATTTTCATTCCCAAATTGTTCAAATGTTACAAGTTTCATCTGCCAATTTTATACAGGTTTTCTTGATAGTTTATACAAAGATAAGTGGCAGATCCCTTAGTTTCCAGATCCAAATCAAATCCCTATAGTTATAAGCAGACAGACTTTTAGTTGAGCATATATAAAATTATCATCAGTGATTGCTGTGTTCATTGTGTCCCCAGCATACTCACACAAACATTCCAACAACACTACAGATCACGTAATCCATTATATATAGTCTACCCTTTCCTCTCCCAGTCAATGAAAGAACTTTTCTTCCAAGTTGACAATATTGTATACTATTTCCATCACTTACCTCAATAAACTAATATTTTGTCAATGTTTAAGTACTGTAACTTTTTTTATTATCTCAAACACTAAATGAGGTAATATCCCCAATAGCCAAAACAATTGGTGCAGAACATTTCCATATCCGAGAGATTTTCTTTCCGGGTATTGAGATGAATTCTTATATACCTGGAAAAAATTACACATTCAAGGAATTTTTCCGGGCAATGGTGAATATTTCAGTCTAAATTTCCCATATGGCACATAGCACTGATGCTATAGAGCAGTGGTTCCCAAACTTGATAATATGACGCCTCTTTTGCTTTTTGCGAAGTCCTCACGTCCCCCCCCCTTATATTTTTGTATGTAAAATCTACATAGATTTTATTTTTAATTATAATTATATTTTAGTATTGTTGAGGATCAGATAACTCCTTGTGAAAGATACGAGTAGTGTAAGAATCAGTGTGGTATCATGACATGCAGTCACCCAAAAAAGTCTTGTCCGAAGCATTTATGGACAGAATAATGTATCAAGTGTCTACTGCTTCGGGTTCACGAGTCTGAATCTCGGGGTTCGTGGTTCACGACAGGACTTTTTTGGGCGGCTGTACAAGACGTGTAAGGGGAGAGAGATGAAATTATAGAAAACGGATAGGGGTGACTGCTATACTTTGGTTTTGCACGGATGTGTGGAAGATTCAAACGGAGAGAGAGTTACTTCTGAAAGTTTCATTATATTCTTTTTGAGAAAAAAAAGAAGCAAATTTGGGCAGATGGCTTCAGCCCCCGTTTGGGAACCACTGCTATAGAGGCATAACTGCAGTCAGACCCAGAGAGCTGTGTTCATTTATGTAAACACTACTGTACACACACAGTATATTGAGCTGATGCCATCATCATCTTCAGCTTGTGATGCAGGCTGGCCAAATGGTGATATGATACAGGATGGCCTACCTTTGTCCTGTACCATCAACCAGTTTTTCTTTGGCATATTTCACATCATAAATGGTCGACAAACCCACTCTATATTCCTCCATTAACACTTTTAAAAGCACATTCTTTATTCAGTTTGTTCAGAATGTCCAATTTTTCTTTTCTTGTCAGTTTTTTCACTGCGCCTCTTGTTGGACCCTTGGTACCACGTTTTTTTTTCTGTAGCTTTCAGCAATGTAAACATGCTATATACTGTACACACACCCTCTACACACTAGGCTACAGTAGGCAAACACTGTCCACTGCTATGTTCAGTAGTGTGTATGTAATGTAACTGTAATCACTTTTTATGTCATAACACTGCTTTAATAGTATTTTTGGCTGATTGCATCCTGGTACAGTAATGTACAGTACTGAACAACAAAGATCCTATGTGAAAACAACAGTGAGCAAGCGAACAAGTATGTACAATGGAAGCCGATAATGAACTAAATGCATCATGACGCAGGAGTTTCAGGAGATAGGCTGCAAGATACAGGAGTCAATTATAGGCACCCCATGCAATCACATGACAGTAGTAGCCAATCGCAGCTCACAAGCACTCTGATCCTTGACCTAAGTTCCCCATGCAGCTAGCCCATCAACGTGCTCGTCACACATTGGTGCACGATGCAATCTCTTGAAAATCCATTCAAATGGCCGGAACAGACAGATGTTTTGGGGCATTTCTCAGAATTCTAAAATGTTATTTTCCAGATTCAGTATTGGAAAGCTTTGGGGATCGAAGATTCTGGCTATCAGAGATATTACTGCACTGACATTTAGTACATAAATAAATTATAACTTATTCAAATTACTTTTTACATACATTACTGTACATCCCAATCTTTAAATCTTTCCATCTTATACAGTATTCATACAATACAATAATAAGAATTTATATTACCAAGTGTTTTTATCGGATACAAAATATAAAGCTCAAAATCTTACCAAGTGCTTATCCAGATGTGGAATATTAAGTTCAAATCCTAAGAGAGCTTCTTGTAGAGACAATGTAACATTGGTGTACAAATCATCACCTCGACGCTCAAATCTGGAAATATGGTACAGTAAATTAAAGGTATGAATGATCATCAAGTACAATAAATCTTTAAGTGTTATAATCATGGTAATCCCATGTTTAAGGTGACAATGAGAAACCAAGATGGGCTCCTTTCCAGATCTGGAGAATGGTTTCTTAAAAATACTTTGCAAGACCTTTCCTGCTGTGATGGGGGGTGATCATAAGCTAGGACAAAGACAGACCTTTCCTTCCTTACTATCATTCAGTCTCTCTGACTGTCAAACCTAGTACCTTTATACAGGGTATAAAGTTTCCCTTTCACAACAATTGCACAACTGAGATATGTCTATGCTGTCCCTCACATTTGGAAACTTCTCATGACCTAAAATAATGATGAATAATTTGACTAACTGTAACCTCCTTAAGACCTATCTTTTTGTTTCTCCTTATAATGAATATCCTGGCACCATGTAATGAAATGTCTACAAATTCTTCAACCTGTATTCTATTTCTTTCAATTCAATAGACATTATACAATTAAGGGGCATAACAAGCATCTCTATCACTGTAGGTTCCCGAAGCCCACTGAAGCAGATGCATGGAATGATTTAAAACTGATGCTACCATTTGAATTTCTTGCACTAGTTCAAACACTACCAGATACTGTACATGACTTGCCTTGAATATACATGTACAAGGAAATTTGTGTGCATATGTAAACTTACACCTTGAACCACATATGCCTCTTAGAAGCCCCCAATGTTTTCAAGTTCACTTTATGATACTTGTAATTAACAGCAATAATTTTCATATTAGTGTCTTTCTATAATCCTGTGTTTGAATTGGAGATTTACAATGTAAGTTGGATGACTTAGCTGATGTTTTGTAATTGTCTTTCACTGTCACAAACCCTCCTCAATCATCCTTTGCTTACACTGTTCTCACCCTTTTCCACCACTGTTGCTCTCAATGTATAATTGTTCACAGGTTGTTGTACTTTTGAAGGTTCAAGTTCCTGAGGCAGCATTACCCATGCCCCTAGAGCTCCCACAAGAGGTTTACTTGAAAATCTGTACATTGCTAATTTCACCTGTACTGCCTGTACTGTACCTTTTACAAATAGGCATTATTTCATCATAACTTCTTCATAATCCTTCTACAATTATCACTCCCACTATCAAAACTAGCCAGTTCTTGCTGTTTCCTTATTTAGTCTACTATTTATTTTTCAGTCTATACTAGGTGTTATAATAAATCAAATTAAATACAAAATACCAACCTTTCATGTGGTACTGTCTTGATGCGTATAATGAGATCACCAGGGTCCCCATCAATATGTGGCTCACCCTCACCAATAAAGCGGTGCTCTTGTTCATCAACCATACCAGGCTCGATCTCAAATTCCAAAGTGCGTTCCTCATTCACTAATCTGTAAGATGAAAAACATGGTAACATGATAGAAAAGTTATTACTATAAAAAAAGTGTACTCCCAATACATCAAACTCCTATATTGTATACATTACTGTACTTACATATAGTACAGTCTTCTACATATTATAAAGTGTTATTTTAGTTTTTTTGGTTTTGTTTTTCCTTCCTTTTATGAACACTGCTAAATAGTTGCTCTAGAGACAAAGAACAAGATTTCAAAAACTGCCATGCCTAAACATTTACTGCTTTCTTACTTGACATTAGGGCATTCATCACACACTTGCTGCTGAGTCATCTGGAACCTTCCAGGACCTAACTGTCGAGTAACCATTTCCTGTCGACAGTTACATCGCCGTGTGCCCGATGCTGCCCTGGCTACTGGTTTATTTCGTACCATCTGGAAGTGATTGTATTTAGTGATCAATTTAAAAAGAAAACTTAAGGACAGTAGTTTTACACAATATTACTGTAGTTATAAATAATTTACTGTGTGTTCTTTCCACCTATCATTTCCCAAATAACAAGCGAGCACAAGCTGCTTGAGTCTGGACCTAATAACAGCAAAATGATGAATAAATTCCCTCATTTAATTTCCAACTTCATGACATACAAATAATTAAATAAATTTGTAAGCCTATTCCAGTTACACTGCATGTTGACTGGAATCTAGAGCAAATAAAGGCTCCTGCTTCAATTCATTCACTAGCTACTGACATCCCCATAAACTACTCAAAGCCATGTTTTCCTATACAGTACAGGTAATTTATGTACTGATACTTTCTGGGTATCTATCCCCCTCATTTTTAGCTCTTTCTACACCCTATTCTTTCATTAGCAATCTGCTTTACCTTCTCAAAACATATTAAGAGACCCCCAATGTTATGTCCATTGGTTTCGTCATTACCAATGGTCTAGAATCACAAAATGCAATACCCAGAAGTCAAAGTATGCTAAAAATGATTGTGGGTTGTCATTTCCTACTTCAAACATAAAACACATATCCCTAATAGAACAAATACTTAAAAATACCTTGAAAATTACAGTTAACCTACAGATTCAAATCCTGACACCTATAAATTTTACACATCTATAGTAGATATGATACCTGCAAACATGCTAACAAATGGGGGGGGTGGATGTGTGACTACAGATAGACAGGTGCAAATCATGTTGGTCTCATGGCTAAGCAGTATACAGAAAGAGAGAGAAAAAAATTGCTATCAAAAGAAGCTTCAAATACTTACTCACCTCAACAAAATTGCCTACATAAAGCTCCTCAAGTGTAACTGATAATTCCATGGTCACATCTCCACCCTTAGGTACCTCCCTTTCTCTTGGCTGACCTCCCCCAAAGCCAAAACCAAAATCACCAAAGAAACTGGCAAAGGGATCCATTCCTCCAAAGCCATCCTCTTTGGCTACACATTCTTCTCCGCACCTGGAAACAAATAATTTGTTAGTAAAGTACGCCCAGATAATTTGTGGATTTTTATTTCGCGGTCCTGTATTATTCACGGATGACACCCTGGATGTACCCAAGAATGTCTGCAGGTGGTTTTAAAGTTGCCGGCATTTTTGCGGCCGGGACAGGGAGCCATTTGTTCTAGACAGAAATTTTCTTTACCTGTACTGTAATAAATAAATATATATATATATATATATATATATATATATATATATATATATATATATATATATATATATATATATATATATATATATATATATATATATATATATATATATATATATATATATATATATATATATATATATATATATATATATATATATATATATATATATATATATATATATATACCGGGTACGTGTGTAGCAAATCACAGAGTAAACTTGAGACTAGACTCAACAGTTTTAATACATTTGTTTCTGATTATTTGTGAGAGGATTTTCCCATTATTATTTATTTATTTTATTTTATTTTTTTCAATTTCAATATTTATTCCTTGACTTGTATGTGCTTTGTGTGTGCACACACACACACACTGTATATACAATACAGGTAAAAGAAATAATTGTCCCAAGAGCAAACACAGAGGGAATATACATTTCTTGATACACAAGGAAAAAATGTTACTCTGTAGTATATTTCATATACCATGTAGTATGTAGTATATCATAATATCAATAAGGCAAGAATAATTGTCATAACCAAGACTCTGGAAGTCTAGTTTACACACCTGTCATACTTTTGTCGCTTATCATCATCAACAAGAACCTCATATGCTGCACCTAAGTCCTTAAATTTATCTTCAGCTTCAGGATCATCTTTGTTCTTGTCTGGGTGATACTCTTTTGCCAATTTTCGATAAGCCTTTTTGATCTGGTTTACACTTGCATCACGGGGCACCCCAAGAATCTTGTAGAAATCTCTCCTGGAAAAAAAAAAATATATATATATATATTAATATGCTGATAACCGCATAGGAAACAAAAAAACACGAAGTTGTTCCCAAGGACTTTTGTGTACACACCCCTGAAAATGTGAATTACACGAAACTGCTTGAAAACTTTGTGTTTTCTTGTTTCCCATGAGGTTATCAGCATATATGCGGATCTCACGCACCACGAATGGTAAGCAGGCAGCTTATCCACTGAAACACGATGGGCAAAAGTATTGTTTATCCAATTTTTTGTCGATTTCACAAGGTAAGAAAGCATTTAAAGTATGTTCTATGGTGAAATATTGTAAATTAGTTACAGTACACAATTAATTTGGACTAATCATGGAAAAGTGTTTTATCTCCATCCAATCTGCTTTATTCTTAGGTTAAGAAAATGTTTCTTTCAATATAAATTTTTCTTATGTGGCAGGTTACCCTGAGCAACCATCCTTAAATATTACCAACAAAAGATTTGGAAGTATTTACTTATGAAGCTGCTGTGTAGCTAGTAAATATTAAGCGTGGCAGACAAAGTGAAGCAACTGAGAATCTTTCAACAAACTCTGCAAGGATCAGATATGAACTAGTGGGGCACTAGAGGGAGTGGACATAATTTTATGGCACCCGCTGTCTGCTGTCAACTGAAAAACACTTTCTTCTTTACTGTTATAAGAGTGGAAAAATTACAAGACACGCCAAAATCAGTTATGGTATTAAAGAAGTCAAAGCCAAAACAAAGAAATACTTAGCAGATGAAGCTAAATAGCAAGAGTGAGTTTCTATACGGTATTTTTAACCACATAATGTTGAACTGTGGTAGTTATTTGCCAGCCCCAGCTTGTTTAATATTATCAAACTTTCACTAATACTCCTGTAAACATACTATTACCAATTAGAGACCAAGAGCAAAGGATCCTCCTGGAAACAAGTAGCTATCTGACAGCTTTGTCAGCTGTCTTTGGTCAAGCTGCCTTACTGATTACTGTACAGTAACCTTGTTCTTTACCTGCACCGTCTTGGTACACAGGATACTGCATATTGAACAGTACTCCAACAGCCTACATGAACCATATACAGTACTGTATCTACGTTGTCTCTATATATATATTCAAGCTGAACTGTATAACAGCATATTTTATAAACATGCTTACCCAACTGTAAATGTGTATGACAATTTTACTGAATAAACACTATTATTATTATTGGTAAATATTCAGTAGTTGCCATGCACAGATATTAAACATGGAAAATAGCATTTTAGTGTTTTTCTATGTGTTTCATAAGAATTTGATCTTCAATTCCATTGGAAATGAGTAAGGTTGTTAAAAAAAAAAAAAAAAGGACTCAAATATCAGTACAGTATACAGTACACTTTATTGAACCGAGGGAGAACACCACGAGACCCAAAGATGACAATAGCTGTGGCTTTATTCTCAAATAATGTTGAATTATGAGCCGGTTTCCCAACTAGCAACCTCCACAGATGCTATATGGTAACTACACAATTCAAATTCCAGAGCCTGTGCATTCTCACGACATCGAAACTTCTGCTGACTGGCCGAGTAAGAAGAGCATGTGCACAAATATCACGTGACTGCTGATTGGCTGATTAAGAAGTAAACATTGAATATCCCCACAAACTTGTACTCTTAGTGAAGGCAATGGATATTTCCCTGACTGGCTAAGTTCCTACTAACGCTATTATACCGTGAGTGCACTCTGATTAGCTAATCGCCCTAACTTCCTAGCCGGAGGGCGGACCCCCCCCCCGTCATATTAAAGAAAAAGTACTTGGCCAAGCTGAGCATGCTCACAGCAAAATAATTATAGTAGGAACTTGGCCGGTCACAGCAAAATATCCACTACGCTAAGTGAAATAGAAGTCACAGTAACTGAAACTATAAATTTGACGAAAAAGCATTTTTTTGCCCCCTTCAACCTATATTAGAATCAAGATAGAATTCTGTGCATGGCAATTACCGAATATCAACTCACTATTATGTACAATTGAGCAGTTTCCTTTTTCATGTTTGAAATTTTCACGGTATTATTGCATTTTCGCACCCCACATTCCTACCCCTAATCTATTATCATATTCGAAAAAGGCGTCTAATTATAAGATAATTTTCTTCTATTATATTAAAGTCGCAAATGTATAATAACGGATATAGCGTATCCAAAACTTCCTCAATTTTCTTCGATTAATCTTCCGCCATCATTGCCGACTTCAACTTCCACACTGCGTGTCTCCTTCATAAATCATCACACGCATGCGTTCCCGTACACGTCACGCGGCCAATCAAAAGCGTTTTTGAGGGGGGGGGGGAACCAATTAAAATGATTTGCATTTTAATTCGCAGTATTTTTGGCCCAATCAAATTCTATTTTTATTTGGGGTCTCATATTTCCAATTTCAAATTCATTTCCGACCATGGACGTCTGCGATGGGTGTCACTTCAATTATGTGGAGCCGATTGCGAGATTTGGGGGAAAAAACGAAGAAACTATAGCCTTTTTTCGATCTCATGGTGTTCACCCGACCTCAGTAAAGTGTCCTAAGTGCAAGAACGAATGTAAATATCGTCAAGATCAACATATGTGGCATTGTGGTAACTCGTCCCTTATCCCTAAGACAAAGAAGAGACGGCCAATAAGGTAAAAAATAAGTGATTCCATCATATGGTGAGAGTCAGTTAGGTTAGGCTTATGTTTTTCTAGTGTTTTTTTTTTTGTATTTTGTATTCGCTTAGCCATTATTTTTTCGGAAAATGCCCTACAAAAAAAATTTATTAAAAAAATCCGGCCAATTTCCGACGGAAATGAAGGTCATAACCGATCTAAACACACATAAATACACTAGAAAAATATATTTTTTACTTTCTAACAGAGTTGGGTGCGCTTATGCAAATATACCATTTTCACAAACACTCGTCTCACAGGTTATTGCTCAAATATACAGTACATCATAATTCTGCTCATAATTTTAGTAAAGATTCTCAAACCCTTTTGAACATGCATAATGATGTCTATTTCATAGAGTACTAAGAATGCATGGGCAAATACAAATAAATATTCTTAAAAAAAAAGGCAATGGAAATTAAATGGGTGGTTATTGAAGGCTTATGTTAACAAAAGGGAATTCAAATTGGATTCACGCCAATTGAGTTAATTCTGTTAGGGGTACTGCATACAGTTTATTGTTAACACCCAATACACCTCCCAGGTGTTTAAACGTGGCGCTCTAACGAGAGGAGAATGTGGCCCGCTGTGATTGGTCAGTCATGCTTCTTGGCAGTTCCATGCTGCACCATCTACACCACCTCCCCTTTATCTAAAACAGTGTATTATAATGCATAACACACACATTCCTACAATGTATTACACTCGCGAGTATATTTTGAGTTTGTATATTCATATAATACTATGTTAACTGACAGCCTATTGGGAGAATCAGCTGATCGGAAAAATTCTGGTACACGGTATTTTAAGACCTGGACAGTATATATCATAAAGTTATGAATTACGCTAATCATGTAACTTGTTCAAATACATTTTTGTATTGTTTAATTTGTACTTACCCAGCTTCACAAGCAATAATTAAGAGTAAGAGGCATAAACCCCAGCTCCACCGCGGCGTCATTGTGACAGGTCCGTCTGCTACTGAGAACTAAGGGGTAGCTGCTTATAACTGATCCAACATATTACATTGTAGGTTTGCACATTAAACATTTTATTATGTCATTATTATGAAAATAAATATATTGATATATTATGTATGTAAATATATAAGGACAGCTATATTAGCAGGAAAAATAAAATATTTTAAAGTTCGTCCACTCTGACTCCCCTGAGGCTCGAACCTGACAGCTTGAGCCGACGCGGCCGAACGCTGGCGTGCCACGTGTTAATAGTGTATTAATTTAGATTTGTGTATTTATGAACAAGCTTGATTGTTAACAGGAAAAAAAACCCAGTTATATGTGCTTCTTTGAAGAGTATAGTATCGTCTCTCAAATTAAAAACAATATTCTTGGATCTATTACGTAAGTTTAAATTCCTTCCTGTCATTTGAAGCATCCGTGGACCACTGAAGTACCCGGAGTAGTCAAGTTGTGTTCATAGTACCATACTCTTAGATCATAACTTCTGCACTATGTACTGAAGATTACCTTTTGTCTAATTTTATTATTGCAAATAGGTTTATGAATACGGCAGGTATTTAATCGTTTTAGTACAGTCAAGAGGAAATAATCAAATAGAATCTTATTTATAGTTATATTGGAAGCATAGGCCTAGTCCTATAATCTCCACTCGTAGGGTTGCTGGTGTGTTTTCCAGGTTGGATGTAAGGAGCATGGACCGGACGAAATACCCCCTCGTGTTCTGGGGGAGTGTGACGAAATTCTAGTCTCTGTGCTCGCTCGCCTCTTTCGCCTTTGCCTCAAAACACAAACTTTTCCTTCTTCTTGGAAACATGCCTTGGTTCAACCCATCCCGAAGAAGAGTGGCCATTCTAATCCCTCTAACTATCGCCCCATTGCCCTAACTTCATCCCTCTTAAACTCTCATTTTCTTCGTCACCTTGAATGCCTTTCTCTTTTGTCGGATCACCAATATGGCTTTCGCCAGGCGAGATCTACAGGTGATCGGCTCTCCTACTGCACCCATCTTTGGTCATCCTCTCTTAGGGATTATGGGGAACTTTCGTCGTGGCCCTCGACATCTCCAAAGCATTTGACAGGGTATGACACAAATCTTTGCTTTCTAAACTCCCTCTTATGTTTTTTCTCCCCCACTTTGTTCTCTAATTTCTAGCTTCCTTGAGAACCGATCCATGGCAGTTGGGAGATCGATCTCTCGCTTTCTCTACCAATAGTGGTGTTCCACAGGGTTTTGTTCTTTTTACTATTATCTTCTTCACCACTGATCGGCTCGTTAGCCGCTTGGGCGATCGGTCACGTCTCTGTTACGCACTGTTGGCAAGTACTGGGCATGCACCGGCTCCCGAATGTACCTGAACCTGCTCCAGTGTTGGTCAAGTCTTGTCTTGAAAGAGCTCACACTCAGTGCCGCCACAACACTTTCTGGTAGATTGTTCCAAGAGTTCACAACTCTCACTCCGAAAAAGTTTGCCCTCACAGTTTTCTGGACTTGCGGCTTCTTCAATCTTGAGCTGTGACCCCTTGTGGGGCGAGCGTCCGCCAGCTCCAAGTAAGGACACTCGACTGAGTAGTGCCCCTTGAGATGCTTATACACCTCAATTAGGTCACCCCTTGCCCGTCTGTAGTATAAGCTAGGCAAGTTCAGGCGCTCCAATCTCTCAGGGTAGCTGAGGTGTCAAAGTGCAGGCACCAGTCTGGTGGCCCTCCTTTGAACATTTTCAACCAACTGACAGTCCTTAGCATATCTCGGGGACCAGACGGGGTGACAGTACTCCAGATGGGGAAGCACTTCACTCTTGAAGATCGTTATGAGGGACGGACCGTCTAGATATCTGAACGACCTTCTTATAGGACCCAATAATATATTTGCCTGATTTACCTTCTTCTCGCAATGGCCTGAGAACTTCAGCTCATTGTCAACATACACACCTAGGTCCTTCTCACATTCAATCTCAAATAGTGCAGTTTCTTCATCCCGTTAGGACATATGATACGCCTCCTTACCGTTGGTACGCCCCAGGTGCATCCTCTTACACTTCATGACATTGAATCTCAGCAGCCATTTCTTCGACCATTCTTGGAGCCCACAGAGGTCCTTCTGCAGCTCTTCACAGCTACTCTCTGGGAGGCTGTGGCCTATGGGGCATCCTTCTCATCGCTTTAGAGATAAAACAATTACGAATGCCCACTATAAGTTTTGAATAAATTACACACACACACAGTTGTTGTATTAATGGTTTCTTGTGTTGATTAAAAAGGAGGACAATCCATTGAGGTGAATTTGGTATAATTTCATTTCTGGAAGGAATTCAAAGTATATACAGTACAGTAAATAACACTTCGACTCCATCATCAATAGTGTACAGAAAAACTAAGTTTATGAGTTTATGGTACAAAATATATATTGGATTTAAGCATAAACATTTACTTGTTCTGAAAAATACAAAAATATGGATTTTGAGTGTAGCTGGTTAAAAAATACGTTGTATAATTAAAAACATTATCAAAAGGGGTAAAATATACCAGTAACCAAATCTCTCAAAATTATATATAAACCGAACTCTAGTTAAATATCATATCAGCCCTAACCTGCTTGTTTCTTCAGCTGTAGTAAACCTGTAGTGGATTTCTCCCCTGCAAACGCTGTTTGTCGCTGAGTAGCCGTGGTCTAGGTCAACCAGCGCCGCCCACGGAGTGGGGGTCAACTACTAAACCACGCCTACCCCCGCTATTTAAGACCTGACCTCGTGGTGACCTCTCTCTTCTTCTAGCTACAGCCGCAGCAAGCAACACCACCTCCTCCGCCGCTGCCTTGCGGTCCTCGCTCCCGCCGGCGAGCATGGCGACCCACAAGCTGGTCCTCCTCTGAGCATCCTCACCAACCAGCTCTCGCTACATCACGCTTGTAACCACGCTGCCACTTCCCAGCACCAAGCTGCATTGTACATCCAATACAACATGTATACAGAGAGCACATTGTGAGTTTCCTTTCTCCATCCCATCCTGAGTGTGAACCCAGACATCCCGTACCCCACAAATAGTGACTCCCGGAGATTCACACTCACACAGGATGGAGGAGAAACCGATCACGCTCCCAGTCTTCAAGCAACATGGAAGACTGGCTTATCCACACAGAGGCAGCTCTCATCGGCTCTACAGCTACTGTCTCTACACCGCAGGTTAGACACCCTAGAGCAGCACTGCTTCTCTAAGCAGACACCAGCTCCTCTTCCTGCCCCAAGCACCACGTCCTACCGACCCCAGCACACCCGTCCTGCCTCCGACGCCGCCCCCGGCCCAGCAGTACACCCTGCCGCTCCTCCTGATGCAGCCCCTGCTCCCGACGCGGCCCATGCGCCTGAGTGCGGACCCACACACCCCTCTTTTCTCCCTCAGGTACCCCCTGCTACTGTCCTGCACCCTGCTGCTGTCGTGGACCCAGCTGCTGTCACGAGCCCTCATCCGCTTCTGCTGACGCAGCCCCTGCTCCTGACCCAGGCCAACACACCCCAGCAGGCGCATCTGACGACTCTGTACCTGCAGTGAGGGAAGCACAACATTCATCGCCTCCACACACCCTTTTTCTCCCTCTCTACTCCCACAGATATTGTGTATCTAGACAGTTGTCTCCTCTAGTGGCCGGCTCATCCACGCCATCGCCGTTATGACTCACATGTGGCATGCACCGCCCGTTCTGCCTCACATGTGCTATGCAACCCTGCAGACAACAAGTCTCCTACACCGCCTGGAGGGAAGGGGAGAGTATTGTAGTGGATTTCTCCCCTACAAACGCTGTTTGTCACTGAGTAGCCGACCCCGCGAATTCCCCAGTGTATGCCTCATGGTCTAGGTCAACCAGCGCCGCCCACGGAGCGGGGGTCAACTACTAAGCCACGCCTACCCCCGCTATTTAAGACCTGACCTCGTGGTGACCTCTCTCTTCTTCTAGCTACAGCCGCAGCAAGCAACACCACCTCCTCCACCGTTGCCTGGTGGCCCTCGCCCCCGCTGGCGAGCATGGCGACCCACAAGCTGTCCTTCTCTGAGCATCCTCACCAACCAGCTCTCTCTACATCACGCTTGTAACCACGCTGCCACTTCCCAGCACCAAGCTGCATTGTACATCCAATACAACATGTATACAGAGAGCACATTGTGAGTTTCCTTTCTCCATCCCATCCTGAGTGTGAACCAAACTACCATACCCCACAAACCCTCTGCCTGCAGCAAAGGCAGCAGCTCGTTTCTTGATCGTTCACATCGTTCCATTGCCTTCATAGCATTGGGTTCATTTGATACAAACTTGGAATGTTCAAGGTTCAGTACAGGTGCCTAGTCAGGGTTGTTTCTACCATATAATTCGGTAGGAGCACCTGAAGCAAAGAGCACAAAACATATAATGGCATGTTGCAAACAGGTACTACCGCCTGGGAAGATATTGGAAGCATAATGTGTTGTCTAATGGTAGACCCTGCTGCCATATGGCATCACGAAAATTGTGACCAGGTCCCAGGTTGCTGATCTGACTTACTGCTTCATTTACACGCAATTGCAGGGTCTCAATTGTTTCTCTTACCATTGACAATACAACATACATATATCGTTTCTCACTTTTGATCTTCTTTTTTCATTTTTGTATTTATAGTTCTTTATTATTAATAATATTATTATTATTATTACAGTTACTGTATTATTATCATCATTATTTAATTATTATATTTTTGTTTGTTTTATCAAATTTTATTTATTATGAATTATTATGACTATTATTTATTATTATTATGATTAATATTATTATTATTACATTTTCGCCCCCCCACCCCCAGGCTCCAATGTGGGTCAGTGACCTGTGCCCGGGAGGGCTAATCCCATTAAAAAAAAAAAAAGGTAAGGTATAACTATTTTTCTAGTTTAGTCTAAATCGACAAATTATTTTGTTTTTACTTTGTGACACTGTGTTTGTCAAGGTTAGGTCAGATTATGCTTAACTTAGGTCCTTGTAGGGTTGGGTTGGGTTGATTGATTTTAGTGACTAATACATAAATACAGTAGATACATCGAGGAATGGAAAGTACTCTTGTAGAAGAAGAATTAAATCATGATAATTATCTATGGTGTCTCTCTTCTTTATATTTACCAAGTAAAGGCATCCTATCTTAGTAATAAGTATATAAGCAATCAACAAGGAATACAGCTTACTACCATTGGTTAAATTAACTACCAATAAGGCTAATAGCATCCTTGGTTTTCTGTCAAAATGTGCCGTATAATTAAGTAAATGTATTGCATTAATCTTAGGCAATGATTATTATTTTATTAAAAGTACCCGTTAAAGTATACTGTATGTGATTTTTCTTTTGCCAAGGATGCTGTTGTAACTAACAAATTTATTTGATCCACTTAAAAATAAAACATACTTAACAAGAGTAATAATTATGACTGGCTTGATGATGGGTTTACTAAATATAATATCCATCTTTGAGATGCTTTGAATATAACATAACTCACCGCTACAATATGAATCTTTGTCCCTCAATAAGATGAATAGAGATTTGACAAACTTATTGGGTAATAATATCGAATATTTAGGCCAAGGTGAACAAGGGGTCACAGCTGAAGGTTGAAGACACAATATAGAAAACTGAGGGCAAACTTTTTTGGAGTGAGAATTGTGAACTTTGGAACAACCTGCCAGAGTGTTGTGACGGCACTGAATGTGAGCTCTTTCAAGACCAGACCTAACCAACACTGGAGCAGGTTCAGATACATTCAGGAACCAATGCATGCCCAGTACTTGCTAACGATCGACTGCCCAAACAGCTAACGAACCAATCAGTGGGGAAGGGGATAAAGTAAAAGTACCAAAGTAGAAAAAAATCGTGTACATAACTCATTACTGATGACTGATACTTTATCGATTATAATTACCTGTTATTAAGTGCTTATCACAGACCTTCCAGTGTTGAGGGTTTGAAGTCTGGGCTCTAGAAATACGAGACAACCATAGTTTTCTTCTTTCACTTATTACTTTCTTGTGTTCATCTCCCCAAGTTGGTATCTTGGGTATTCGATAAAAGGAAAGACTGGGGTGTTTACTGGATTTATTTCCACAACCCAGAATATAACAAAAGTGTGGCATCTATAACAACTACTACAACAGCAACCAAGCAACATAAACAAACCGACGTCCATAAGATTCCATTTACCGGGTATTTACAATTTGTCAATCTCAGGTGGTCTCACAGGTTCGCGCGCTTACCCATAATACCACTGAATAGTGACGTCAGAGAGTTTGATGACGTCAACAAATTTAGGGGAATGTTCAAGCAGATTTCTGATTCGGGTAGGCTTTAACCGCTTTACCCCAGGCCTATATTGAATCCCTTACCCCGTACGTAGTGAATAACGAAGCTGTGTTTCCAAATTACTAAATGTGATTTTTCTAATATTTCATAAAATTTTCATCATTTCTAACTGTTATCAACCACATATAAATTCAAGAGGGTTTAGGTGTGGGATTCAATAACGTCTTACCCCTGAGTTTGACTGATTATGGTGATGGAGGTGAACGGTACCGGTTTGTTTGTTGTTTGTTTACAGGCTTTCAACATTTGCTCATCTCACGTTTGGGTATATTAAGGTGAAAATATTAAAGGGTCTTCTTTTACCTGTTAATTTTTTAATTTGTTTATGCTAAACTTGACGTGCAGTACGTGCCAACACACAGTTTATGGTCGTTTACTTAATTGAAGTGTCCCATTGGTGTGGCCGGCGGCTCCCAACTGACGGCTAATACTGTTATTTCAATTAAAACCACAACTGATTAACATTCCAGAGTTTTAATAGTGTCGGTAAAGGCACCTGTCCATAGTTATGGACTACATTTGTTGCAAAGATAAAATTCCCGAGATTCTGTTGGTGGCAAAATACTATGCAATATTGCTTTATTTTGTTTTAACAGGAGCAAACGGATGGCAACAACAATAAATGATAGTTCAGCAATACAGTTTAGATTTTTTTTTTTTGCCTAAAAGCTGAAGGCATAGCAATCAAGTAGAGATCAGTTTAAATGTTTGGTATTGTTTTACTTTTACACAACCATGGAATCTTTGGAATTAATAGTTTAGACAATTCTAAGACACTTTTCGTCGATGACATTTCCATCGCAAATGACTTATATATAGCGGGGGAGGGGGGTCCAAAGAGGCGAGATGAGGTTGGGTTAGGTTAGTTAATTTTTAGGTAATTTGTGAGGGAAACGTCATAGAAGAAAAATGGCTTAAAATTGTCTAAATTTCCCATGTTTTAGACTCTAAAACATGGGAAAAACACATTGCTAAAAAAAAAAATCCATGGTTGTCCACTTGTAAATATTTACCTTTGTTTCTCGTACTGTACTTCTGGTAACCTTTCTTTGAATTGTCTTGTAAATTATTTTGTAAAGAGAGACATGTGATAATCATTATAATAATGACTATAAACATGTACAGGGTACTGTGTCTTTGTAAGGCAGCATATCTTGGTCAATATACTACCATAATGCCTGTCATAGCTGTCATTAAATGACCTTTAGTTCAGCTAATTCCATTGTTCTCACTGAGTAACATGATCAAACAGATGCTGCAGTAACTAACTGCACGTGCGACTGGTCATAATTGGTTGCACGAGCAAGGTTCTATCATGCCAGGCCACAAAGTTGTGTCACATAGACAAAAAACAAAAAATTTATGTCAAGCTAGTGGTCATTATGGTTTTGCTCTCATTGGAAAGCTGGAACCAGAACTGGAAGTTGTGGATAATTTTCACTGATTCTACACATTTTCATGGCTGTGCTGAGATAGATTATGCACTTCAGCATCACTTACTAGCTGTGAACTAAGCTATGTACTGGGTAACCTTTTAAGGAAATGATCAAAGTACTACCCCTTTGAAAAACCTCCCATTAATTTAGAGTGGAATGTGCATGGGGGAATGAAGGATGATTGGTTAGATAATAATTAATGGATATACCTTAACAGATCCTAAAGCCCAAATGACAAGCACAAGGGCCCTCTTTCTTGTAAGTTGTTCCCTATCACAAAGATCTACCTGAGTAAGGGTATTATATAAGTCTGATTATATAGGATTTCAGGATCAATTCCCCATTTCTGTGTTCACTTTTTTCTACAATAAGGAATTCAATTTATGATTTCTGTAAGGGAGCTTTGGGAACATTAAATATTCATCTGATTTAAGGGAATTCACACTTATTATCAGTGAAATTTATAATTGGATTAGGTTTATGAAGTCGGCAATCAGAAATAATTTAACTTTTACTGCAATTATCAGCAGATTATATACTGTATCTGCTTCTATGAAGAATTATATAAGTAAGGTGTATACAGTGGAGTCGTGATAATTTGCAGGTTAGGTACTAAAAGACACTGAATTATCAAATCACAAATTATAGTGAAATTGGATTAAATTGAAATAATTAGAAATTGGTTTAATTTTCTGGAACTTTATAGTTTCTTATGAAAATAGACATGTGGCAGCTGTTGCTCAGCCATGAATTATAAATATTTAACAACAAAATTAAAAAAGAAGAGGTAGTAATAGAGGTACACTTGAATTTAAGAACGTGAATTTGTATCTAGAAATGATCGCAAGTCCACTGTATAAAGAAAAAAATAGTAATCGTTTTATTTGCATTTGACAGGAAGATGGCAGAAGCTGTAGCTAAAGATTTCTTACCACCACCAGTTAAGAAAATGCGGACAGATGACTGTAGTAATGCTGTTGACAGTACCACTGACAAGAATTGTGATCAGGTGGAACTCTTCTCTTCTTTTGAAGATTTTGAGTTCATACGCATCTTGAATAATAGTGAGGAACATAAGTCAGTAGCTGTAGAGGGACGTCTCCAAGGTAGAGAAGGCACTGCTGTTGTCATGCTTCAGGTAACTAAAGCATGGATTCCAAAAATTTGATTGTAAGAAGGAGTCTAGTGAGGAATCTATAGATTCTGAATTTCATCAGCTATATATTGCACCGGTACAGTACATGTACTGTATTTGATTTGATTTTTCAGTCACCCTTCACTAGGTGACTTGAATATAATATGCTCAGAAAGTCATTGGTATAGATCCAGGAAACTTGACTTTAGTGGCTAGGATATCTGAAAGGTAGGTATTATATCATAATATATATATATATACTGTACTGTATATATAAAACAGGAGGTCACCAGGTTACGTACATCTGACTTAAGAACATCCACTGATAAAGAGCGAGGTCCCATAAAGTTAAACTTGAATTTTTTTATTTTTGCAGATCAGCCCACCCAGGCACATTAAAACACATTATGCTTCCAATATCTTCCCATGCAGTAGTACTGTTTGATAGCTGCCTACTACCTACTACCTTTACCTGATGACTTATTTTTTTACTTTCATTTACTGTATTTTGTCATTCTTTTTCTTCTCTTAAATTAAGTGATTTTAGATGTATATAGGACTTAAGCTATGATATAGTGGGATTTTAAACATTGTTCTGTAAGTATAGTATGCACACAGGGTATGTGTTTTGACTTAAAAACGTCTGTAGGAACAAAACTTGTACGTAACCCGGGGACTGCCTATAGTATACATATACATACAGTAGAAATTCTTCCAAAATCAGCTAAATTCGTAAGTTTGAATACCATGCTCAACAGGGATACGCTGCCACATTTTTTGCTATGATAAACAATACAATCGATACATAGTACTGTATACCGGTATTACAAAATACAATAGCACATAATAAAAATAAGAAAAAATACTGCATTGCCATTTGGCAATCTTGTCACTAGCAATAGACAACAAGCAGTGATTTTTTTGTATCAAGATTCCTTAATATTTAATGAATAAAAAGTTCCAAATTAATAAATTCTACAATTTATTTTTGTATTTTACTTGATTTTATTTTGCTACAAATAATTTTAATTTTAAACAAAGAAACACTGAGGATTTTGTGTATGCAGGGTGAATCTATAGTTACCAGAGTTCACTATTACAACATTTGGTCAGACTTCTTGCATCCTTTATTTATGGGAAATAACATATTTAAATTAAAGTAAACTCACGAGATTCTAGATTATAATGATAGGTTTTTCATGGCTTTGGGCTTAATAAGTTCTTTTAGTGTAAGATGCATTCAGTTCATGATCATTTTTCTCCACAGAAACTTCCATTCAACAGTGATAAATTACAAGAAATATTCACTGGCAATACAAGTTTGAAAAATATATTTCAAAATGATATTTATTACAACAAGACAGCACTGTTGCCATGTGAGCTTAATGGTGAGTTGTAGTGTGTTTTGTACCTACTGTATATCCACTTTATAGTGTAGTTGTCTCCTTCAAGGTTTGATGGGCTTGTTAGGAGAGTAAAATCATCCTGGTAGCTTTACAAAGTTTTCTTCGTATGGGAAATAAGGTTTAGTTTGGGATTTTCAAAAACATGTACAGGTATGATCCCATCTACAGTATGAGGTTTTTTAAATTAAGTTACTGTACATGCTTTTAAAGGTAGGCAACCACTCATATTCTCTATGAAATAACATGCTGTACAGTGGAATCTCAGGATTTTGATTCAGGATACAGTACTGTACAGTAATCTCCCCGTTAGCCGGAAACCCGTTTCCTGGAATTTTCCAATAGCCGGAATTGAAAATGAGCCAAAAATTTTGGGGGAAAACTATCTCCATCTTGGGCAAGAGAACGAATTTCCAAGGATGAAAATCTGGCGCATTTTCTGGAAAAATCTCTCCAAACTTCTCCATTCTGGGCCTGGAAACAAATTTTCTGGGAGTTGTCGAGAGATTACATCATGCTCCGACACGAGTGTGGGCCAGGCAAGGACACATGCTGGACACATGTGTTTAACCCACACTGTCTCACAGAATTTGCGAGTCTTAAATCAAGTGTGAAATTGGTTTCACACACATTACACATATCGAACAAACCTTAAAAAAAAAAACCACATTTTATTTTTTAATATAACGTCAATTCCAATTACATTGTTTATTTTAAATATTTTGTCTTCAACTCCAATTCATGCATTTTCCAAATCAGTTCCAATTCAGTTGATAATTGACTCCATGACTGTACTTAAGCCTTATTATAGAATACTTAATTGAAGAAGGTCACAATGGTCAAGTGCACTCATAGCTCTGTCTCATAACTCCAACTTGCTCGATGCATGGAATGCTCCGAGGTGTGCTACAGTACCTCAACCCTAGCGATGTTCTTATGGTTAGCACGTAACTGAGATACTACCAAGTAACTCTTTTTATGAGAAATAGTTAGATTATACAAGGTTTTTAAAATCTGGGCCCAGAATGGGATGAGACCATACTTATTGGGTGGGACTAATCTTACACTTAGTCTGTCCTTTCTTACTGCAACCATCACATCAACATCACACCAGCTAGTGCACACCTCTCCCTTCTTCAACTCCATCATAATGGTTTTCAGATGTCTATCCCTGGAAGACTTTCACACTAACCCATGGGAAGGGGGAGTGATCTGAGCTGCTTAGTTCTGGTATCAGCCATGAAATGGGATTTCAAGATCAACCCTCATTTATGGCCATGACTAGACAGCTCACATAACTGAATCTAGAAACCACAAAGGTGGTAGTACTAGTGTTCCAACAGGTAATATGACACATGCACCCAATACTAATACAGGTTGACAATCCCTTATCCGAAATCCTTGGGGCCAGAGGCATTTCGGAATTCGGAATTTTTCGGTTTACATAATTTTTTTTTTTTTTTTTTTAATGTTTGTGTATTAGCCCACCTGGGCACAAGTCACTGACCCACATTTGTGCGGGGGGATATAATAATAATAATAATAATAATAATAATAATAATAATAATAATAATAATAATAATAATAATTCTTAGGTCTAGGTTGTGTTTCTCACTTTTTATCATTCTTGTATTTCTTAATTATTATTATTTTATTATTACAGTATTATTGTTATCATTATTATTTTATTTGGGTGTATTTGTATTAAATTTTGTATTTACTATGAATAATTATTATTATAATTATTATTACTGTTACATTTTCGCCCCCAGGCCCCGATGGGCTAATCCCTGTTTAAAAAAAAAAAAAAAAATTCGGTCTTCAGAGCTTTTCGGATAAAGGGTAGTCAACCTGTAGTTTGTCCTCCGTTATTGCTACTGGAAAGGGGAGTAGAAGCACATGTTTTTCTCTGTTAAACAAGAAAGAAGAGACCCATCAGGCTCTACCACACTGGTTTTCACATCATTCCAAGCCACACCTTCACACCAGACAGATGGTAACACTGCTTGCTCTGTATTTCTGTTTATACAGCAATTGTTTGTTATTGCACCATATTATACTGTATGTATTGTATAACAAATTATAGTATAGTTCTGTAATAAATGTATAACAAACCCCCTTGTAGAATATTTAGTATTATTATACCTACCGGTACTGTATTCCTCATATTGTTTAGAAATTCCATGCTTGACAACCCCTGTCAGAGATCAGCTAAGGTGATCTCTAAATTGATGACTCTGCACTGTCGCACATTGACCAGAGAGCCTGGGTGTATAGTGACAGACAGCGACTTTTTCTTTTTCGGAACAGGTCATTATCGCTCTCTTGAACGTGAACTCGCAGTTACAGTTTAGTCCCCGTTCATACTGTACTGTACATTATCACAACACAAAGTAAAAACATTTGGTTGCGTTTCAACAACCTCCCTGCCAAAGGTGTGTACATATCATGTAGCTGATCATTGATGTGTTAATGAGAAGGGTACAGCCTTCATCTTAGAATATTAATGAAGAGGAGAATGGGAGAGAAGATAAGGGGATTAAAGTAGGCAAAATAAATGTGTAGTGATAGGCTGACCAAAGGGCTCTTCTGTCATGGCTACCCTCATGAGAGGGGAGCCCTTCATGGGAGTAAAGTTTTGGAGATAAAATTTATTTTATTAACTGATATTATATTTTATTTTATTTTATTTTTTTTACAGAAGTGAGAGCAAATATTGTGTACCCAGCTGAGGAGAAACACATTCTTAGATTTGAAAAACAACCATCTTCATTTATCATTGAAACACCAGAGTTGTACAAGGATGTCACCCGGCCTTTCATAGAATCATCCTCTTTCAGTAAACAGGTAAACAAACACCCAGTAGTCAAGATTAAACTTCATAGGATAATACTGTACAGTAATCTCATTGGTATTGATGTAGAGAACATAAGTTATGGCTATAAAGAAATGTGTGTGCTCTACAACATCAAACAGTAGGTTCATTGTATCCTGAGCTGTATAAAATTATTCATTTGAGTGCCAGCCTATGAGATAGACAAAAATTAATTGATTTATAAAATGATAAGTTTGGTCACTTTTGTTCTACGTATTAGTTTTTTTTTCATGTGTACCCTGTACTGCAGCACATTCATAGTATTTTATAAATTAAAATACCTCATTTAGAATGGACAGAATAATATAATATATATGTAAATCATTTGTCCCATGAGGGTGAGGTAGCACACTGTTGCATCAAGTGTTGATCAGGTTGTAAGGAGATACAAACATGTTCTTCACTGCCCAGCCTGGTTGTGTGACTGGTGACTTATTCACCCCTAAGTAACTTCTATTATGTTTTTGCAAAGAGTATTACATACAACTTAGCACAGGTATCTCTCGCTATCTGAATGATCACTCTATAAAAATCTGCGTATCCGAAAAATTCTATTCTTACACATCTTTTTCATTATCCTAAATCGATTCTCGCTTATCTGAAAGATGGTCTGATCAAAAATTCAAAGTGCGCATAGCAGACATGACCCCACTCCCCCTCAGCCTGTGTCACCTTGTGTGCCATTTGTTTAGTGGTCAGTGAAGTGAAGTTCAGTATTTTTTCTTTATCCATATGTATCTGTGCCTTCCTTTTGCGAATCTGTTCACAATGTCATCCATCACCAAGAGACCACATAAGCCTGTAATAATTGAAAACAAGCTTGAAATAATGATGCTATGTATGCTGGAAGTCCCTATCAAGATCAGGAGGGATCTGCCTCTCATATTGTAATGTACCAACTGTACAATATATATATATATATATATATATATATATATATATATATATATATATATATATATATATATATATATATATATATATATATATATATATATATTGCATTATTTTATAATATTTTTAGTATAGTACAGTATTGTGGTTTATTGTTGGCTGCTTATCATCACCCTCCCTCAGACTGCATGTCTGGTGTGTTATTCACTTAGTGTTCAGTTGAAGCTTATTGCTCTCTCTTTATTCTTTTGTATTTGTACCATCCTTTCATGAATCTGTTCACAATGTTATCCAAGTGGTGTGTTGATTCCTTGGTTGCTCCCACTATTGCCAAGAGTAAACTTGTCATAATTGAAAACAGGCTTGAGATAATGACACTATGAATGTGGGAAGGCCCTAGCCGATTAATTTATTTTTAGGTATCCTGTAATATTGTGGTATTCTTATAGTTAGGTACTAAAAATGCAGTACAGGAAGTCCCTGACTTACGAACGTCCGCCTTACAAATGCCAGCTTATACGAACAGGGTTAAACATGAAATTTACACTAATTTATTTACCTGATGAATTATTTTTACTTTCATTTACTGTATTTTTGTCATTCTATTTCTTCATTTGTCTTAAATTAAGTGATTTTAGATGTATATAAGGCCTTAGGCTATGATATAGTGGCATTTTAAACATTCTTTTGTAATTACAGTATGTTTAGGTATACCCGTACAGTGATACAGTACAATATTGGGGTTTTGTCGGGGGACCGAACCCTAATTTTCCCACTTTTTGCCATTCACTATCTGAATATTTTTCAAGGAATGTCACCCATTTGTATATACACTATTTATAGACTAAAAGAATGCACATGCTCATACTCATATATGTATACAATGCACATTCCTCATACACTACCAATAAAGAGTTATGAGTTGACTATAACTGTAAATATAGTTTTTAAAAATAAATTCTCCACAGTGGATCTACAACATCTTGGAACACAAGAAAGAAGCAGAACGTATCGTTTTTGAAGATACAGATCCCGACCTTGGCTTTATTCTTCTACCAGATCTGAAATGGACAGGAGAACAGATGGAGGATCTTTACCTCCAGGCCATTGTTCATCGGCGGGATATCACATGTCTACGTGATTTAAGAGGATGCCACATCCCTCTTCTCAAAAATATACATGAGAAAGGCACAGTAAGGAGTCACATTACATTTTATCTGATATCTCACATTATTAACATTAATAACTTTAGTAGTGGACCTGGGCTTGGTTGTTGATAACACATTGTTGTTTCAGGAACATATGAGGGGTCCTCGTTATTCAAGACTAATAGGGACATGAAAATTGCCACTTAAATAAAATCCACTTAAAGTGGTAAATTTCTGCCCATAAGCAGTAATGGGAATAGGGTTTGATTGATACCATAAAAACCATATAAAAACTTTATACTCAAGGGTAGAGATTCATGAATCTTTGAAGTGAGACGGAGAATAATTGGCAACTGCCAAGTCCTGGTTTTTGTAGTGATGGGAGAGGTGGTTTTAGTGACAAACAATGTGGTTGTGTAGCGGTGAGTTGTTGAGGAGAAAAGTGGGTGGAAATTCCATTTGTAAGTGGTGGCATTGTAGGTATGGGTGAGGGGCCACTGAATACAGGATAGGAGGGGGAGGGTAAGGAGGTGTAAATAATTCCTCTGATACACTGTTTGGTGTTCTGGGAGGCACCAGATACATCCTGTGGTATACTGCTTGATGTTCTATTAGGTATTATGTACATCACCTGAATGGATGGGTGAATGGGCAAAGAACTGTAATGGTGACAATGTCTTAGGTATGGTAATGAAAGTACAGTACAGGTACTGTACTTTTATGTTGTAATGGAGAAATGAATGTGAGAGAGTTAAATGAAAGGTAAGTCAGCTGCTGTACTTGAATGAAATTGTACTCATGCCCAATTGAGAAGAAAAGTTGCAGATGTTTTTAATGAGTTTGTGTACAAGGAGAAAGTAAGTATGAATGAATCAATGAAAGTGATGAAAATAAGCAGAGTAGGGAAACATGGAGAAATATGTAAAGTACATCAAGTTGGCAATTTATGTTGGTTCTATTTGAGTCTTCTTGATGAAACATTAAAAAATTAGTCAAGCTTGAGATACAGCCTGGATAGCCAATCAATGTGACAAACAAATGAAGCAACCACTGAGTACTCCCTTGAGCTTCATGTAGCCCCTAGAGATAGAATGGGGGTTAAGGGGCAGTATACAATTACAGTAAACCCTTAATAACTCGGCACATATGGGGCTCTGGCCTTCCCGAGATATCCCAAATTCCGACTTATTGAGGCACCCTCCTACCCCTCCTACAAAATTACAATTAAAAATTATTGACACATATATGTGTACAGTACAAGTAATTGCTAAATGTAAAAAGTAACACTTACCAGCATTGCAGGCAAAGAATGAAGCATCATAGTAGGTGACATAGAGGCATGGTAGGGTGATGCAGGTGGCCAGATATGCAGAGATTTTCCCAGATAATTTTACATATCTCGACATTTCCCGAGTTATACTAATACATTCCGTGACCGTATCCATGCAGAGTTATCGAGGGTTTACTGTATTATTTTTTTATCAACTTTCTCTTATTACATCTTACACAATTTGGGAAGGCTTTGTCACTTACAGCCTTGATGGACAACCAGAATGATAAAGAAAAAATGGGTGCATCTGAAACAGATGGAAGATAAAAGGATAGATAAAAACATATCAGTAAGGCACCATATTAAGTAATGGGAGAATAAATGTAGTATTAAATACATAATGTATAAGCACTTTTGTGTTTCCATAATTATCTGTAATTTTAAATTTATTTGTACTTAAGTGTGTTTCTTCACAGACAGCAATCAAGGAGAAGTATGGTGTGCCGGCTCATAAGCAGCGGGTTTATCTGCATTACCAGCCCTCATTTTACCATCTTCATGTTCATTTTACAGCCATCTCATTTGAAGCTCCAGGTAAATAAACTAACAAATGTTGACTTTACAGTATATATCACTATAAAAGGTGGCACTCTAACATTTATAATGAGTCTGGCCATGGAGAAAGAAAACAATAATCTACAGCAATGGTTCCTAAACGTTTTCACATGATGCCCTTTTTTTTTTTACCAAACCCATATGTCCCCCCTTCCCTTTTTTTTAAATTAATTTAACAAACTTTTAATTAAATTTTACACCAAGTACAGTACTTGTAGCTATTTTGCAGTGGCTGTTTCTCATTCAAGGTCAGGGCCAGAAAGTCAGTTTTTACTTTGTACAATACAGTATACCATTTCACCAACCATGGCATTGAATTTTAAGTAGCCACAGATTAGTGTGGCATCTTTATCCCTCTGCAGTTTAATGTATTCCTCCGTAAATGTGAGGAATAAGTAAAAAAAAAAAAATACATACTAATAAAAAATAAAACAAAATAAAATACTGAACTGCATTACCATTTGACAATCATTTCACGAAGGACATGGGTGACAGGAGTGCGCTCCCCTTTCCCCCTCCCATGATTCAACACTAACTTCCGTGGACGTAATAAATGTTCACTCTTATGTTTTATATACATTCTGTATGAATGACTTTATGTGCCTGTAACAGTAAAAATAAATAAATAAATAAAATTACGTTTATCTACCCAAAAATATGAGTTGAAAAATAACAATGATACAGCTTGGCCTTGTAGGGGGAGAGCTAGGAGGATGTAGCTCCAGGGACAGTCTAACTTGGTGACTTGCTAAGTCCACACACACATACACACCCATGCTCTTCATTTTTCTTATTTTATAGCAACTTGTCATCTCCATGGAGATGTACTATAAAATTTGTATTATTATTTAATTTATATTAAGCTACTTAATATGTATTTGACTCAATTTTAATTAAATGTGCAATATTGCAGGTACCGGGTACTGTTCTGAAGTATTCACATTTTAAATTTGGAAAGCATTAAAATTTGAAAACAACTCATAATTATAATTTATCACGATTTAGGATCTTTAACTATTTGTTTCGTGTGTGAAAAATATAAGGAAAAACTGCATGTTAACACTTACATATTATCCACAGGAACATGGGTTGGCAAGGCTCACCTCCTGTCATCTGTGATCACTAACTTGGAAATTTGTGGTGATTATTATGAGAGAGCAGTATTGCCTTTCAGTGTGAAAGATAACCATCCATTGAGAGCCAAATTTGAAGAGAAAGGTAAGCATTCATTATATATATATATATATATATATATATATATATATATATATATATATATATATATATATATATATATATATATATATATATATATATATATATTTTTTTTTTTTTTTTTTTTAACTTCATAACAAAACTTAAAATTTTATAATCAGTGTCTACTTAACAAAGTTTGTCGTATGTTCATTCACAGATAGGTACCCCCCCAAACACAAAATATGCAATTTGTCTGTGGTCAGCCAAGGTGTAAAGACAATGCTTACCCCCTGAATATACTTGTTTCTAAATTAGAAATGGTTTTATACACTCCAGTTTAAACATTTCTTACATTTTTTTTTTCATAAAAGAAATGAGTCTAGCATTATATCATGTTGAAATATTTTGCTAGAGGAACTTTAATTGGATAAATCTTGTAGAGAATATATTCAGGATTATTATGGTAACAAATTCATCTCTCCAACAGAATTAGAACAGATGCTGTGAATAAAAGTTTATACTCATTTTTGCGAGCCACACATGTTTTCCCCAGCACCCAGAAACATTCCTAGGATGTGTGATAGTGTCCGTCTGATTAGCGATATGTACCCCTGTACTGTAGTTGACTCTTAAAAAACTTCTCCCAGTACCTGGAAAAATTCCGGCAATGTGGGATTTTTTTCCGAGTTTGAAATGTTTCACTGCCCAGAAATCTCTCATACCCAGTAGAGCTCTGCACCAATTATTCGTGCTAACCGGGAGATTACTGTACACTATTGGTGACCAGAATTCTGTTCGTATTAGATATTATGTACTGTACTACAGGTATACTGTGCAACAGGCGCTGAGCTTACATAAGGTAAACAGTAAACATGTTATTACAGGCTGTAGAGATAAGCAGTACCTGGCAGTCTGAACAAGCCCGAAGAAGTGTTTTCATGTCCTTGTGTCCGGCACTTGCCCAGCCTGTATCATTTCACCATTTGGCCAGCCTGCATCACAAGCTGAAGATGATGATGGCATCAGCTCAATATACTGTGTGTACAGTAGTGTTTCCATAAATGAACACAGTTCTGTGGGGTCTGACTGCAGTTAAGCCTCTATAGCAGTGGTTCCCAAACTGGGGGGTGTGAAGTGGTAGTTACCTGCCTTTTTCACTTATTCCAGCTTCCATTCAATGATATATGTTACACGTGTGTCCTAACAAAATTAATTTCAAGATTTACTAGAATTGTAATTGTTTTTTTTTTTCTTTTCAGGTTATTTTTCTGTATAGAAGATCAGGTCTTCAGGATTTATTTTCATATTATATTTAATACTGTAGAGGCTAATTCATAACAACTGTAATTACAGGGTACATGTCTTGCAACAGATTTGGGATCCTTCTGTCAGTGCACTTAGCCATGTACTATTCATGTGTATTGTACAATGCATTTTTAATTTTTCCCAATAAAATTATAACTTTGACTTGAATTTGATACAAATATATATTTTCTATTTTTAGCAGGATTATTTTAACCATGAAATTTGTAGGAGCAGGATGCAGAGAATAAGAATTATAGAAATAAGGAACTGTGGAAGTGAAATAAGGCCTCTTCACCCAAGTGTTCTTTTGTCACACGACTTGGAAAGCAACGGAGTTCAATGGGATCTTTCACATGGATGTAAGCGAAAAGAAAACGAAAACCACAACATTGATGCTGACTGAACATTTATACTTGCAAAATGCAATGCATAAGAATATGCCCAGCATTTTAGGACAAAATCTGTCAATGAGAACATTGATAAATGTACATAGTACACACCTATGATGTAGCATTATGGCTACAAATGTGGAAAATGCTAAAAAGTTACTTTGTTCACATGTTTTGAAAAAGCATTGAATATACAGTAAACTCTCGATAACTTGGCACACATGGGACTCTGGCCTTGCCGAGTTATCCCAAATTTCTACTTCTCGAGGCACTCCCCCCACCTCCTACAAAAAAAAAAAATATATATATATATATATATTTACCCATATATTGTATGTGTACTGTACATGTAATTACTAAATGTAAAAAGTACACTTACCAGCACTGCAGGTGAAGAATGAAACATCATAGTAGGACACAGATGCATGGTAGGTGATGCAGGTGGCCAGATTTTTATGCTGAGATTTTCCCAGATAATTTTATGTATCTCTGCATTTCCAAGTTATACTAATACATTCTGAGACCATATCCATGCCGAGTTATATGAAATTCCAAGTTATCGAGGGTTTACTGAAAAATAGAAAATTATAAGACTGAAAAATAACAGGAAAGGGTAGATAGGGACAGATTTATAGTACTGTATTGTGAATGTAAGGAAGACTTAAAGGTACACTATCAAACTCTAAGTGACAAATCTGAAGAGGGATAAGAGGCAAAAAAAAGAAGGAATCTGCATTGATTCAAGTAATGAGACATCCTGGATAGATCTCCCTGCTGTAAATTTGGCTTGCTGTATACATGCATTATCTCAATATAAAAAAGAATTTACAATTTAACTTTCATTAAAATACAGCATTGTTTATCATTTTTCCAAATGGAGGCTATGAATCTTTATTTGTATACCACTTTCTTCCTAGTTTCAATTTAACAAAACTTTCCTTAGTTAGTTCATGCAGGGTTTCTACTGGAGCCCACTTATTCCGTGGGTCGTGTTCTGCAAAAGGGTCCTCAGTTTTCACATCAATTGATTCAAACTGTGAGGGTATAACAAGCCTATATGCATGAAGGAACATGCGATAGGGGTAGATATCACGGCGATTGGAGTAGGTGAAGTCCCCTACAATGGTATGACCCGACTCAGACAGATGAACTCGAAGTTGGTGGCGACGGCCTGTTATAGGTTTTAAGAGAAGCTTTGTTGCTGGGTAACCTGAAATAAAAGAGATGTACTTGAAGTGTTTTTGGCAATTGTAAAACATTTTCCCTATACAATACCTTATATTATGAAACAAATCTGGAAACTTGCTCAGTATTACTGATGCATATCCATAAAGAACTGCCAATAAAAGAATGGTTTTATAATGGAGGTAAACGTCTATATACAATTCCCCAATCTATGATAATTCTCATTAATAATGCTGATATATTAAGACCACTTCTCTATTTACGATGTAAACAAACTCGCATTAACGATATTTGTCATCCCGCAAGTGGGCATATGGAATGCATCACTCACTTCATTTGTCAGTTGAGGCGTCATCTACCTGAACGCCACCTTGTGACCATCTGGTGAACAACAGTCCAGGCATTGTTTCTTCTTGGTTTCATGTTTTAAGAAATGGAGGTCAATGTATCAGTCATCACTGGTGGTGTTTTTTTACCTAACAGTGAGAAGACATCACTAAAGTTCACACTGATTGTACTCTGTTTTAGTGACTGTGAAGTGGTGCTTTCCCTGTTTTAGTGACTGTGAAGTTCTTTCTCTCACACTACATAGTGCTTTAACTCTGATCCCCTACCCCAATAATGGGTGACCTGACAGTGCATCAGAAGGTCAGTAATGAGACCATAAATCCCTCTACCCCACCTCCATTGCAAATGAAAGAAGAGTTTATATACTGTACAATGGGCGGACCTGACAATGCAGCAGGTCAGATCACTAACATGAGACCCACTAATCCCCTACCACAACTCCATCACAAGTGCCAAGACTTAAAAAGTGATTACAGTTATGCATTACATTCATGAGATTGGACAGTATATTCCTACTGTAGGCTCAAGGCAACAGTAATAATATATATTATTTTGTTTATTTACAATATATTGTACCTGTACACTGTACAGTAATGTTTGTGGAAATAAAAATAGCTCTAATGTTAGTCCGTGGGATAAGCATCTCCCGCACATGAATTGTCATTCGTGTTCTCTGTCCCATTGATTTTTATTAATTTCTGAACCGCATGGGTCCATATGCGCAGGAAAAAAATGCTTGTGTGTGAAGCGGGCTTTACATCAGAACATGAGGGTTGCGGTTAGCCCTCCCGGTTTGAAATATCATTGTAGGGTATAGTAATTTTTATCTGCAAATAAGCAGGGTATGTTTTGCAAATACAGTATTGAATCGGGGCATGAAAATACCAATTGCGAATACTGAGGTATTCCTGTATTTAATAAGATATAATTTTATACTACAGGGTACTGTATACCAATACAGTAATGCCATGTACTATGATATACTGTAATACTGTATTGTGTTGTCAATCTGTGGAAATAATATACTGTACAGTATTGTCAATTAACAACTGTCATAACTGCATTTGGTTTTATTACTTGGTAATGATATTTAAGGAAAACTAGGTATAAAGCTAGATGTCGCATTCTGGACTATATCACCAAAACTGGTTTTTAGAAAAAAAAAAATTTTTCCCCAAGTCAAAATTATGGCTTTTTTCTCGATTTTTTTTTTCTGTTTGCCCAAAATCCGCACCCTACCCCATAAAATCCTGTATCTGTATTCTCTCTCTCAAATGCACTCTTTAAATTATTGTTTCCAGAATGACCACACTATTCCAACATTAAGTTTTTCAATTTAGACACACTTACCATCATATAGACCCTTCTGAAGCACCAAGAGACGCGTATGTGCGGCTTTACAGCGACCAGTATGTCGACTAAGTGGTGTGGCCATCTTTATCCCACACCACTCTTCTCGTATATCATCACCTGTGGCACAAGAAATATTCAATGCCTTATGTATGAATGTTCACAAGTAAAAAAATGTATTAGTCCTTACATATCTGTGAACCCCAAATGTTGGTAAACTGAAGTGAATTGCATGCAACAAGGTACGAAAAGGCTTGAAATTTTCAGAAATAAATATCATCAATACATTAGTATTTTGATGTTGAGAAATAAAGTTTTAAAATATATAATCTCAAGGCAGGTGGGTAATCTTTGATTTCTTCAGGGAGTAGCAACCCTGCCTAGCCATCTAAGAGGGCACTTGGAAATCTAGTTCCCACTCTATAAAGGTGGGTTAGTAATTAGGAAGGGCATCCAGATTTAAGACTTGCTTCAAAATTGGCTGGTGGCAACTGGAATACCATGCCAAGAGCTAGCCACAGCTAACCTACACAAGTGTGGAAAATGGCCATAAAATAGTGGTGGTGATAATGAAGACAGGCCTGTAGTCTAGGGGTGAGGGAAGTCCACTTTTGTAACTTCGTTATAGCTTGGAGTAGTATGCAGATCTCATGGGTAAAAGCGTCATGAAAAGTGCCAGGGCCAGTTGGTCTCCTGTGGCTCTTATACTTGGGTATTTTTCAGGACCCAGTGCCACTTTTTTTAACCTAATAGGGCTTTAATGTTGCAACTGATGATCCAAAGATGGGTGCAGGGTCGTCAGGGGAATAATCTGGCCCACCCAACAAGGGAAGGTCAATGCCAGAGATAAGAACCTGGTAACCCCAGGAGTAGTGTGGGAGTATATGCAGGAAACCACCAGGAGGTCAAGATGATAGCTTCCAGTCCATAGGAGTGCCAGGCCCCCTAATGCCCGCTTGGCCTTAGCCACACTGACCAGCCAATTGACTTGGTCGGGCCCAATCAAGCCACCCGTCTAGCTGGAATAGGGGACCAGTGGTGTGTTGCTAGCCGCAGCATGTGATGTCACTCAACCTCCAGGAGTAACATCTCCGAGCATTATGGGTTGCCACACATGCCTCGGTGGTCTGGGCTGAGAACGATACTGCCGGTCTGCTCTATAAACTGGCAGCAGGTAAGAGCCATTTTGTCTGGACCCACCCAGTTTGGGAAACCCTTCCCCTCCCTCTGAGCTTCCCCTCCCTCTGAGGAGGGGAGGGCCAAGCCCCCAACCCCCGGCTCATAGGGACTCGTAAGGTCCCCCTCTCACCCCACTGCGGTAAGGGGGTTCCCACTGGAGGGGAAGGGGGGGTGGCATTGATGTTCCTGCCTTCCATCCTGTGTGGGTACTTATGTACGAATCAAATGGCTGTAACTAACATGTGTTTGACATAACCCCAACTTCATACTTGTATTTTATAACCCTAGACTACCAATACTGCTTCACACTAGTCTACTGAGTAATGGAGAATATGTATGCATTTCATTTTTATTTCTCTCAAATAAAATAATGATACTCTGTATCCTAATAAGAGCAACTACTTTACTTTTACTTTTTACTCTTATCATCTTCGCCACTGATCGGCTCATTAGCGGCTTGGGCAGTCGGTCACGTCTCTGTTACGCACTGATTGGCAAGTACTGGGCATGCACTGGGTCCTGAATGTATCTGAGCCAGCTCCAGTGTTGATCAAGTCTGGCCTTGAATTACCTCACACTCGGTGCCATCACAAAGCACGGAGTTGACTTGAGGGTAGACTCACATTTTTAATACATTTGTTTCTGATTATTTTTGAGAGTATTTTCCCATTATTATTTATTTGTATGTGTGTGTGTATCACACACAAACACATACAAATAAAACATAATGAAAAATCCTCTCACAAATATTCAGAAACAAATGTATTAAAAATGTGCGAGTCTACCCTCAAGTCAACTACCTGTACTTGTATTTGCTTTAAAACTACCCTTGGACAATCTTGGGTGCATCCAGGGTGTCATCCACGAACAATCGAGGTCCGTGACTTAAAAATCCGCGAATTGTCAGGGCATGTACGTACTACATTACATGAGAATGCATGATGTCAATCAAATATTATTTGTGGTATTATCTATAAAAACTTTTATCACAGAACTTCGTATGAGGAAGGATTTTCTATAGTCAGAGATAGCAACCTATCCACTAAAGCAACACATCTGAAGTTCTTGCTTATTTTCGATTCCACCAGATTATGGGGTGTAGATGCTTTTTTGCCGACTGTACATAGACCATGCAGGAATACAATTTCCAATGTACCTGACCATACAATTATGCAATTTCCAATGTACCATACCTAGACAGTGCAGGTATACAACAATGGTAAACAGTATGGTAATTCAACCAAGATTAGCCAACAAAGCCACCAGAAGCTTGTTTCCTTTAGGGTCCAAATGACTGCAGTGTTTTCTCCAAGCATTGTTAATTTCCTTATTAAAAACAACATTCCCAATTATTCCTCACAAACTGTTTACCAACTACATATGTACTTGTTTCTACTCACTATTTGATAAACAATTAAAAAAAAATGAACAAACTATTATTCAACTGGTATACTGTATACAGTATATGGTAACTACAGTATACAATAAGTGCACTCACCTATTGGAAGATATATATCCAACATTTCTTTGGAGACATGGCCCCTCACAAGAGCTAAGTAATACTTGTCCACATGCTTATGAACAAAACATTTTGCAACTGCTGCTGCAGCTTTTTTGTGAAGAGCTATGCACAACAGTCCACTGGTAGAAAAATCGAGACGATGAGCAAACCTAAATTCATGTCCAAGGTTTTGACTGGCCAAGTCAGGAAACAACTGTTTCATCTGAGTTTGAACTGTTACCTGAAAGTAATAACACATAAATAACAATAAGGCATTGATCCTGAAATCATATTCATAACAGAGCCCCTATCAGGTGGCTCATGTATTATTCCCTGTACAGTCAAAATTACAAGTGATGATCAATGTTCCCAGGTCACTTGACATGAATGACTGAAACAAAATCTAATAAATCACAGAAAAAAACCCCTCCAATTTCCAAAACAGTAGTGGCTTCAGAAAGAGGTATTCAGAGCCTTCAGCTGTTAACTGGGCAATGCATTGAGAGCCTTTCATTGGCACCATGCTAACTAGTTTGCACTCCATGGTCTGTATTTATCATTGATTACAAAATTAATCCAAGTTGGCAAAATCAATGGTTTAAAAAAAGTAAAAAAAAAGTTTCTTGGTTTTAATTAACACTACAGTAATTACTAATTTTTTTTGTGAGCTCAGGTACTTTAATCAGCATGTAAAGTAGTACCTTTGTATGAAATTTGAAGAAAATCCATGGTATGATCCCAAATGCCAAAATGCAAGGTATATACTGTATAGAACAACTGTATAAATATATTTTTTCTACTTTGCCTTTGCACTGAGAGTACAGCTACCTTTTCAGGATTTGCAGGTACATTGTGTATCATAGTGAAAAACTGGTCATTTACTACCAACTCTAGCAACAAAATCTTAATGCCAAGAATTGCATAATATAACTGCGAGAACAAAACCTGATTCTTACCTCATCTTGTGAGGAATTACTGTTGATGAGAACATCGTATCTTTTGTTAACAATAATGTAATGACAACTCTGATGAACAATCTGGAATATAATTACAAGTGCTTTAGTTACTGTTTACTATGATTAAAAATCTAATACAGTATTTATTCTTATTCTCAATACAGGTATAACAATAAGCTTAAAAGATAGAAATGCTTTGTTTTGAAAGTAATCTATATAATTCAAGTGTCAATAAATGTGTGTACTGTACATTATAAATCAAATCTGTCAAGGCAATAAATTTTAAAATACAGTACAGTATCAGGAACCAGAATTTCACACATTCTGACCAACAGGAGTAACAATAAATGTTGCCATAGATTATAATGAGTAAACTTTTGTAGATAAACATAAATACTGAACAAAGAAGTGAGAAACTGCAACAATATCAATATGAATAGAAATGAATAGGTATGGGCTAATTAAACACACATGGAAAAGACCCAGATTAGGGTTACATTCCAAGTTTGCTAAATCTAAGACATTGGAGGTACTTAAACTAATGAAGAAATTTGGTCATGGTCTTCAGATGTCATACAATAAATATCACCAGCCCTGAAAGTGTCCACATTCTAACCAGCAGCTGGGAATCCAAATGAATCCAGGTAATGAAACACTTGCCGTGGCAACAGCACACAGCCAAGTTCCAAGTTATCCCTTATTCCCTCCAGGACACAATTGGCCCAAAATAGTGTGAGAGATGTAAAAAGTGATTACAGTTATGTAGCCTGTACTGTACATTCAGCAGAGTGGACACTGAATTCCTACTGTAGGTTCAAGATCACAGCATCTGCTGGTAAGTACAGTACATGAGTATATAATACAGTAGTACAGTAGGGTCTCAAAGTACTGTATGCATATGCAGAGTATGTGACGCCACTTATACACGGTTGACCCCCCTGATCTGCCCCTACATGTGGGACTCGCTCTTGTGTGAGCCAACCCACCCAGTATATCTCACTAGATCAGTGTGTTTATCACTTAACCCATGCTCGCGAGAAAAAATACAAATAAATCATTACAATACTCTAATGTGCCTTAAAAATAAAGAATATATAATATCAAACATTAAAAAAAGAAAAATAAAGAGCATGGGTGTGTATGTGTAATAAGTGAATGGTTGTGTGTGGTGGCGCTGAGCTGAGCTGTAATTTCATCGTTAACTCAATTTCAGCCGCGCTCCTTCCCTTCCGTGAGTCAGCTGGGTGACTGAGCAATTGAACTGCAACACGTCGCCCAGAGGATGGTTTGAGTATGGACGGAGCTGTTCTTTATACATAAAATAATATATACTGGACCAGTAAATATGAGGAATAAATACAAATAATAATACTGAAAAAAAATACTACATTGCCATTTGGCAATTATTTCACTACGTATACACAGGAGACAGTGAACAGCCGAGATCCCCCACGTCGCTCCCCTCCCCTACTCTGCATACTAACTCTAGAGAAATGTTTATTCCCTTCATGTGTTTCACATTATGGTAATTATGTATCTTTTTTTTTCTGTTGCACATTTTGTATGAACGAATGCAAGTAACAGAATAAAAGAAATTGAAGTAAACTTTGTAGTATATCTATCAGTAATTATGTGTTGAAAAAATTAACCATAACACAGGTCAGAGCTCTCACGATGAAATGTTTACTCCCTTTATGTTTTAACCTTATGATGATTTTTTCTATTTACCCGGTAATATTTTGCCCATTCTGTATGTGCATGTAAAAAAAAAAAAATTATGCATATCTTCCCAAAATTACGAGTTGAAAAATACACAACCTAGTTGACCTGCTCCGAGTGCCTACTCTGGCGTCCTCTCTCTCACTGGTTCCATGAACATCTCCCAGCCAATTGTGCTGATATATTTTACCACAGCCATGGTCCATAAGAGGAAAATTAGTGGCAGTGCTTGTGGTGATGAGCGAGAAAAAGAAAAAAGTGCATACCTACACTGTGAGAACTTTTGAAGAAAAATTCAAGATATTGGACTTCCTAAGGAATGGCATATCAGTACTGTGAAGATGTGCATTGGTTACCTTAGTATAAAATGGAGGTTATATGTACATATACAAGGGGAACCCAAATATATGCAAATTTCACATACCCTCACACACTTTGAGACCCAACTGTAGATTACAGTACATTATTTTGTTTATTTACAATACAGGATAGTCTCGATTTACGCGGATTTGGTTTACACGTTTGGTCATTTACGCGGCAGCTTGCCAGACCGACAATTTTTATTTACACGGTTCATTCCATCATTTACGCGGGAAGTGGTGCGGGCAGGGTGCGCACAAGGTCGCGCAGTCAGCAAAACATTACCGAGTTCTTCACCCACCACTCACCACAGCCGGCCCAAGTCAGTGATAGTGAGGATATGGACTTTGAGGGGTTTGACAAAGGCCTTGCAAGCCTCTGTGGTGGATAGTGATACAATTGATACAAGTGATACAGGTGAGGGCCAATAATCTGCCCTCTGCCTCGGAACCAACCCCCCATCCCCATGTGCCCAGCCATCGTTTCTACTAACGTAAATGTTAAAAAACCTAATATTATTGATTTCTCTTAAATATTAACTGTGTGTGCATACCATCATAAAATTAAGATGTTATTTTTACTTCAACGTACATATTGTGTCGGAAAAAGTGTAGTTTGGGAGAAGGCCCAGTCTCTATAGTATTTCAATTAATCCCATATGTTCTGTTATTTCGTTTACGAGTTTCTCGTTTTACGCGGACCTCCACGGGTTCAATTGACCGCGTAAATGAAGACTATACTGTATATTGTCCATGTACAGTGGTATTTATGTAAATAAATGCAGCTCTGTGTCTGCCCATGCAAGATGCGTAGTCTTGGCTGTGACGTACAGCTCCACTCATGCACGAGAGCCCGAACAGACATGTACCCTTAACATATATCACAAGTTTCACAATTCGGTAGTTCCATGCAGGGTCCCCAGAAAAAAGGAATTGTGAAACCTTTGAGGCTACGGTACTATGAATTTCTCTATGCATTTCTGGAGTTTTGTCCCATTTTTCAGAAGTGCATAGTTGATATTGTGTTGTGTGGAAATAAATTGGGTGGGGTCTGACCGTAAAACCTATGGCATCAGTAGAATATAAAAATTTTTGGAGTGGTTATAGCATATCACGAGGACTCAAAAATTTGTGCAAGAGTAAACAGTGAGGAATGTGAGGTGTGAGGATGGATATGTCTTCTGTTTATTTGGATGATTTCTTGGGATTTTAGGACTGGTCTGTCCTGGGAGTTGTCATTTGCTGATGACTTAGTGTTGATAGCATATATTATTGAAAAGGCAGTGGAGAAATTTAAGAATTGAAGGATGGAATAGAGTCAAAGAGCTTGAGAATGAATTTGGCAAAAACAAAAGTATTGATTAGTGGTATGGGTGAGGGACCTCTGGTGGTAAATGGATAATAACCATGTGCTGTCTGGGTTGTTATGCCGAGGCATAATTTCATGTTATAATTTTGTAAACTAGGTGTTTTCATTATTTTCTGTTCCTTGCAGCAGATATTTCGGCAAATTTAGTGAAATTTTCGTGTTTATATTGATGTATTAATTAGGTAAGAAATTCCAGAATGTATTGCATCATTTTTTATGATATCCTTATTATTTTAAGCCTTGATCAGAGTAGAACGTTCTAGAATCTTCTAGGCGTCTCTGGGTGATTCTAGGATGTCCGAGAAGCGTCTGACGAGGCGTATATAAGAGGGCGCGGGCTGCCTAGGGGCAGTTAGTCGCTTGCTTCTGTTCATAGTGTAAAGACTAAGCCTAGCAGAACAACTGAAGACAATTGATGTGCAAGTTTGTGGAATTGTTGTGATTATTATAAAGTGAGAAGACTAAGGAATTGTACACTGGTAGTGTGCTGACTATATATTCGAAGTGTAGAGTCAAGCTGTGAATACATTACCCTGTTAACAGTGTTGTGAAGAATCAGTGTTTTTGAAAGAAGACTACAGTTCACAAGTGTGTTTCTGTGACCTGAAAGAAATCTACCTGCCTGTTGTTTGTCTGTACACTGATACCGATCGTCATGGAATTACTGGAGACTGGCGGGACAGCCAGTGATAATTTGACAATTCTTGTAAAGATATCTACTGCTTCTGTACATACGACCCTAGCCGCTGGTAACCAGTGGTGGAAGCTGTGTAAGCGGTGAAAGGAGGGTCGTAACAGTATGAAAAGTATTGGTAACAACTCCGTGATGTGCAATGAGTGTAGGTGGGAACACAAGAGGTGCAGTGGATTAGATAGAAGACTGTAGTATGTTGTCGACTTTAAATGTTCTGTATGTGCCGGTAACCTTGTGGCCTTAGCAAGGCTGGAGAAACTCAACAGTGGGGATATGTCCCTGGACTGTGTTGATGAGTTACTTGGGTAACATAATCAATGCTGGAGGGGGGTGCTGTACTGTAGCCAGCTCAGTTGCAAGTGTCAGAAATGGCTGAATGATGTTTAGAGTTGCTGGCTTTATTGATGGCAAGATGACTTTCTCTCCGCATGAAAATACAGATGTACGTAACTGATGTGAGAAGTGTTATGTCATATGGCATTGAAACAAGGGCAGTTAAAATGGAAGTAAATTCCAGTTTGAGCAAGCTGAAATGAGGATGGTGAAGTGGATGTGCAATGGGATGTTGAAAGGTAGGAAACCCTGTTCAGAGCTAAGAGGGTGACTGGATAATGAGAGCATTGGTGACATTTTGTGAAGAGGTAGGCTGAGATGGTTTAGGCATATGGAGAGAATGAGGCCAAACGGGTCATGAGATGCATGAGTCTAAATGTGGAAGGGAGGAGATCCATGGGCAGGCCAAGAATGACAATGGGAGAGGTTGAAAAAAAAGTTAAGAACAAGATAAGAGAGGCTGCAAGAAACCATGCAACTTGAAGAGTTGCCATCAGGTAACTATGGCTAACTCATGCAAGCATGGAATATGGCTGGAAAACATTGATGATGATGAATATAAACAGAGCATTCAAAATGGATATCACTTACACCTGTGAGCAATTGTCTTCATTTACCTTGATATCTTTCACCTTGAAAATTGACTGGAATTTAAGGTTCATATTTTGTGCTTGGCAGATAAGATGACTCCTGCATTTGAGGATACAGTGTATATTTTGTTTAAGTTTTGACGGTTGACTTATATGCCAGTAATGGCAAATACAATAAATTATTTCCCAATATACAGTGAACCCTCACTTTACGCGGTTAATTCAACCCATGGCGGCCGGCGTAAAGTGAGAAACGCGTAAAGTGAACAACATATAGGATTAATTGAAACAGAGACCGGGCCGACCCCCAAACTCCACTTTTTCAGACACAATACCTACGTTGTAGTAAAAATAACTTCTTAATTTTATGATGGTATGCACACACAATTAATAATTAAGAGAAATATCAATAATATTAGGTTTCTTAACACTTACATTAGTAAAAAAGATGGCTGGGCACACGGGGATAGGGGGTTGGTTCCGAGGCAGAGGGCAGATTATTGGCCCTCACCTGTATCACTTGTATCAATTGTATCACTATCCACCACAGAGGCTTGCAAGGCCTTTGTCAAACCCCTCAAAGTCCATATAAGTCTATATCCTCACTATCATTATCACTATCACTGACTTGGGCCGGCTGTGGTGGGTGGCGGGTGAAGAACTCGGTAATGTTTTGATGACTGGGCGACCTTGTGCGCACCCTGCTCGCGCCGCTCTCCGCGTAAAAGGGTACACACACCGCAGAAAGTGAGCATTCCCACGCGGTCCCACTTTACGCGTGGAAACGCGTAAAGTGGGACCGCGTAAAGCGAGGGTTGACTGTACAATACTTTTATATAAGTAAATATACCAACCTCTAAATCTGTTATTCCTGGGGGCACATTATCACCAAGTTTTTGTCTCATTAACTGACACAAACTTTTGGAAATTCTCCCAACTAATCGATGCCATGCCAAACAGACCATCTTCTCTAATATATGAGCTGCAACTCTATCTAGCCAAGACATTTACCTAGAAAAAAAGAACCCTTTTAATAAAAAATAAATAAATATATAATCCTGACAAATAAATCTACAGAGTGGCATTCCATGCAATAAGACTTGCACTATACTGTACATCATGCAAAGCCAAGGTTATATGGAAAATAGAGTCATGTAAAAATTCAATATTCTTAACAGACAGAGAAACAACAGTATCATTAGCAAGGGTCAAAATCATTGAATTCTTAACCAGAGAGTGCTGCTGCAAGTGCAATTTATATTAAACTTAACTTTACAAGCAAATCCTCCAATCTCAAGGGGGGGGAGGGATTGCATTTACTCAGGGGACATAAGTAAACCAAGGACCAGGAGCATCCCCAGGTTCAGTTTACGGTCAGAAACTGAAATTATACACCGACTACAACAAAAATGAAAGACTGATCCTGAAATTCCATATCATAGCCAGGTCTGGAACAGGTAACTCATACACATGAATATCATGCTATTCACAACTCTGCTTATTCACAATTAATATTTTAACACCCATATTTGATATTCGCAAAGTATACCCCACCAATTTGCAAAATGAATTAAAAAAAATTATACGTGGAGATGGAATATTGCTGTAAAATAAGAAAAATGAAGAGCATCGGTGTGTATGTGTGTGACTTAAACATATGTGTGGACTTAACATGTCAAGTTATACTGTCCCCATAGATACATCTCGTTGCTCTCTCCACCCCCTCCTCCCCCCCCTGAGGCAAATCTGTGTTATTGCTATTTTTCAACTTGCAATTTCAGGTAGATATTACATAATTTTATTATAAAAATCATAAGGTAAACAACAAAGGAGTTAACATTTCTTATGTAAGGGAATTAGTGCGTCGATTGTGGAAGGAGGAGGAGGGAGCAGTATTGGGGATTTCAGCCTCTCCAATCTCCAGTGTCATGTGTGTAGTGAAACAATTGCTAACTGACAATGGGTTATTTTTTTTTTTTTTTTATTTATTCCTCACATTTACTGGTACTACAGTATACACACAACCCTGGTCCCTAATAGCCTTGGATAATGAGGTGAAATTTGCCTGAAGCAATGCATCTCCCCTAATTACATTGATTCGTATGGGGAAAATTACCCCGATATTCTCAATGACTTTTAGGAATGCATCACCTGTGATAACCAGGGTATTTCTGTACTGTACTGTGAGAGTCAAGCCTGGATCAGGCAACTCATAAACAGTGACAGTCAAGCCTCGGAGGAAATGGTTAGTACCTGAAACTTCTTATGAAATTGCACCAAAATCTCTGGCGATGTTATTTGCATGATACTAAACATTAAAATGGAAGCGACCACATACAGATCCATACAGAAAACTTAACTAAAGAAACCTACCTAATCTTACCTGACTTACTAGCCGGTGGTTTCCGCATATTAAGAAAACAAAACAAAAAATATTACAGTACAGTAATTTGATATCTGGCACCAAAGTTTTTTGGGGGACGTGAGAGTACGCTCGGACTGAGTAGCTCGGCTGTTGCACTGAAACATACAGAGCAGACAACACATGCTGACACAGCAGATTTTTTGGCGGAATATTTATAATAAATAATTAATTTCTTGACGTATAGAGCACATAGTACATCATTTTAATGTCATATGATCAGTTTTCACTGTTTTACCCCACAATTTCCCTCATCCTTCATGCCATGCCCACTACTGGTGATTTATGATCACTGAGAAAATTTTAAATTAAAAAATATATTTATAATTAAAATAAAAACATGTCGCCTCCATTAAAGTACTTAGTATCTGTGAAAAAAATGAACGAAATTGGACAACTCCTGGTGGTAGTGGTTTCCTCATAAATTACCCCAGAATCATTACCCATTGATTAAGTGGTGACATAATACATTAATTGAAATTGGTAGAATTTAAATTAAATCTGGCACTTCTGGAAGTTTCCAAACTCATCAAAGGCACCTTTGATTGGTAAAGTTCCTGATTAACACCCAACTCACTTTGAAGTTTAAAATGGTCTTTTTCCAAAGGCTTTTCGTGTGAACCATTTGAATCTAACATCCAATTCTGTCGGAAATCACTCGTTTCAGAGCTATGGCCCCCCCCCCCATCCATGACAATCATGAAAGACCCGTGAGAAAGCTGAGTTTTCGGGTGGGGGTAACAAGCAAAAACGAGTGATTTGCGACAGAAATGGATGTTAGAATCAATTGATTCACACGAAAAGCCTTTGGAAAAAGAACATTATAAGCTTCAAAGGTAACCCTACCCAACCTAACGTGGTAGGGGCGTAGTATTGTTGTGCGTGACTTGGATGTTAATACGGAAAAATACCCTTTTATTTTGCGCCCATTAAATACAAGTTACCCAGAAGAATATTATATTAATACTTGGATTATCCGGCTAACATTAGTGTTGCTCCTGCGTTAAATGAGACCCACAGCCCACCTGGTCTACCACCGCTGATGGACTGTCAACAAAGTCAGCTGTTTCAGACGAGCGTGTGTGCTGGTTCCCTGCTGGTAACCATACTTGGACAACAGGTATACTATTATACGTCAGAGGTGAGAGGTAATTATCACAAAAAAAATGCTAATCTTGCTGCATTTATTTCATTCTTACAAATACAAATTAAGAAATAAACTGAATACAGGTAATCAGTAGAGTATGATGATAATGAAATGATCATCCAAGTAAATAGGTTCACTTGAAATATCCATAATACTGTCTCCTATCATTTATAATTGCAAACAGTTGAGCAATATCCTTTAAGTTAAGCTGATCTGTGGATAACCAAGTGTATCCAAAATGTATTATTTCATTACATCATGGGCCATATTCTAGTTCTCCCCTACCCTTGTTGAATAGTGTCACCATTGTATAGACGTATTCGTAATTACAGACGATATACAGTGCGCATTTTGTTACAAAGTTTTGGAATAATCATATTTTTCCATTCTGAGGCCTACCCCATACGATGGTTGGCTTACAATGAAAACACATTATCAAATTATATGATGAGTTGAGGTTTAATTAAGCAAGAGATTTATAACATTATTTATAAAACTAATTATCAGTAATTATGGTAAATTTATATAAGTGCACCCAACTCTTGTTAGAAAGTCAAAAATATATACAGTATTTTCTAGTGTATTTATGTGGGTTTAAATCGGTTATGACCTTCATTTGTTGGAAATTGGCCGGGTTTTTTTATCGATTTTTTTTGGTGGGGCGAATGGCTAAGCGAATACAAAATACAAAAAAAACAAACACTAGAAATACATAAACCTAACCTGACCTGACCTGACCTGACCGACTCTCACCATATGATAGAAATTATTTCTTACCTTATTGGCCTGGTTCTCATTCGTCATTGGACTTACCACAATGCCACATATGTTGGTCTTGACGATATTTACATTCGTTCTTGCACTTAAGACACTTTACTGAGGTCGGGAGAACACCATGAAATTGAAAAAAAATGCTAGAGTTAATTTGTTTTTTCCCAAAAAAACTCGCAATCAGCTCCACTTAATTGAAGTGACGCCCATCGCAGACTTCCATGGTCGGAAATGAATTTGAATATCGAAATATGACCCAAAATAAAAATCGAATTTGATTGGGCCAAAAATACTGCAGATTAAACCACAAATCATTTTAATTGGTGCAAAAAAAAAAACGCTTTTGATTGGCCGCGTGACGTGTATGGGAAAACATGCGTTTGATGATTGATGAAGGAGACACGCAGTGTGGGAGGTGAGGTTGGCAATAATGGCGGAAGATTAATGGAAGAAAATAGAGAAAATTTTGGATAAGCTATCTCCGTTGTTATACATTTGCGACGGTAATGTTGTGGGGATGGGATGTTTGGGTTCACACTCAGGATGGGATGGAGAAAGGAAACTCACAATGTGCTCTCTGTATACATGTTGTATTGGATGTACAATGCAGCTTGGTGCTGGGAAGTGCAGCGTGGTTACAAGCGTGATGTAGAGAGAGCTGGTTGGTGAGGATGCTCAGAGGAGGACCAGCTTGTGGGTCGCCATGCTCGCCAGCGGGAACGAGGACCGCCAGGCAGCGGCGGAGGAGGTGTAGCTTGCTGCAGCTGTAGCTAGAAGAAGAGAGAGCTGGTTGGTGAGGATGCTCAGAGGGGGACCAGCTTGTGGGTTGCCGTGCTCTCCGGCGGGAACGAGGACCGCCAGGCAGGCGGAGGAGGAGGAGGTGTTGCTGGCTGGTTGGTGTAGGTAGAAAGAGAGCGGTCACCACGAGGTTAGGTCTCTTGTAGCGGAGGTGGGCGTGGGTAGATAGTTGACCCCTGCTCCGTGGGCGGCGCTGATTGACCTAGACCACGAGGCATACACGGGAATTCGTGGGATTGGCTACTCAGCGACAAACAGTGTTTGTAGGGGAGAAATCCACTACAATACTCCCCCCTTCCCTCCAGGCGGTGTAGGAGACTTGTTGTTTGCAGGGTTGCATGGCACATGTGAGGCAGAATGGGCGGTGCATGCCTCATGTGAGCCATAACGGCGATGGCGTGGATGAGCTGGCCGCTAGTGGAGGCAACTGTCTAGACACACAAGATCTGTGGGAGAAGAGAGGGAGAAAGAGGGTTGTGGAGGTGATGAATGTTGTGTTTTCCTCGCGACAGGTACAGAGTCCTCAGATGCGCCTGCTGGGGTGTGGGCCTGGGTCAGGAGCAGGGGCTGCGTCAGCAGAAGCGGCAGGGGGTACTGCTGGGCCGGGGGCGGTGTCTGAGGCAGGATGGGTGTGCTGGGGTCGGTAGGACGTGGTTCTTGGGGCAGGAAGAGGAGCTGGTGTCTGCTTAGAGAAGCAGTGCTGCTCTAGGGTGTCTAACCTGCGGTGTAGAGACAGTAGCTGTAGAGCCGATGAGAGCTGCTTCTGGGTGGATAAGCCAGTCTTCCATGTTGCTTGAAGACTGGGAGAGTGATCGGTTTCTCCTCCATCTTGTGTGAGTGCGAATCTCCGGGAGTCACCATTTGTTTCTCCTCCATCCTGTGTGAGTGCAAATCTCCGGGGGTCACCATTTGTTTCTCCTCCATCCTGTGTGAGTGCGAATCTCCGGGGGTCACCATTTGTGGGGATGGGATGTTTGTGTTCACACTCAGGATGGGATGGAGAAAGGAAACTCACAATGTGCTCTCTGTATACATGTTGTATTGGATGTACAATGCAGCTTGGTGCTGGGAAGTGGCAGCGTGGTTACAAGCGTGATGTAGAGAGAGCTGGTTGGTGAGGATGCTCAGAGGAGGACCAGCTTGTGGGTCGCCATGCTCTCCGGCGGGAGCGAGGACCGCCAGGCAGGCGGAGGAGGAGGAGGTGTTGCTGGCTGGTTGGTGTAGGTAGAAAGAGAGCAGTCACCACGAGGTCAGGTCTTTTATAGCGTAGGTGGGCGTGGGTAGATAGTTGACCCTGCTCCGTGGGCGGCGCTGGTTGACCTAGACCATGAGGCATACACTGGGGAATTCGCAGGATTGGCTACTCAGCGACAAACAGCGTTTGTAGGGGAGAAATCCACTTCAATGTAATAGAAGAAAATTATCTTATAATTATACGTCTTATTCGAATGATAACAGATTAGGGGTAGGAATGTTGTGAACAGAAATACAATAATACCGTAATTGTTACCACAGCATGATACCCAAACAGACGGCGATATCAGTTTTTTACATCATTGTTTACAGCAGAGCGCGAAGCCTAACTTTTTTACTTTTAATACATTTATCTTCTTCACCACTGATTGGCTCGTTAGCCGCTTGGTCTTGCCTCCGTTATGCACTGCTGGCAAGTGCTAGGCATCCACTGGCACCTGAATGTATCCTGCATACAGGTCCAGCCTCTTCAAAAAAATTATTAAAAATTGTCCAAAATTGTATTTAAAAATATATTTTAGAAAAATGTTCAACATATTCAACAAGGTGTTATTAAAAAAATGCTTTTCATCAATGACTTAGGGAGAGGATGTAAGATATGACAATACAATTATGAGCTAGACAAGAGACTAAGAGATGATAATATTAGGGGCTTGACAAGAGAGACTGGAAGAGAATTTAAAGCATGGTACAGGTGCCAAAATATAATTGTGGATAACCCATGCAAGCGTGGAAAATGACTGTAAAACGTCGATGAGGATATTCCCTTGTTTATTTTCCACAACCTGGAGGCTGTAATCTTGACTTGGCCCTGTGTAGGACTCTGGTACTTATTTACTGCACAATATTTTTTCAAGCCTGAATTTTTTTTTTTTTTTTTTTTATTAAGTGTGATCTAGTTACCCTCCCTTAGTGCCACACCACTTAGACACTCCCCAAGAAATCTTGTATCTGTCCCTCTACAGTGTGTGTGTGTTAGATTCATAGTTTGTGAGCTGATGGAGGTCATTAAGACAAGTTTCCATTTCGCAGTGTGATCTTGAAATCAGGTGATATAATGTCAAAGACCATAATTTTACCCCTATGCTTGAATCTTCATGAATGAAATACTGTACAGTAATCCCCCGGGTTACCGAAGGGATATGTCCTTAAGAAGTTGACTGTAAGGAGAACCCCATTTTCTCACTGACTTCCATTATATAATTGGAGATTTGTTCCTAAAGAGAACTTTTGGCAAAAAGAAGTGTACTGTAATACAAGCACACCTATGAATGAATATAAACATTTTTAAATATATACTGTAGTACATTGATTATTTTATGATATACTATAGAAGATAATAAATAAACAAATCACTTGAATATACTAACCTCAAATGATGTCGAGTGCTGCATGAAGTAAGGTGGTGCAATGGTACTTATTGGGAGACGTAGGAAGCCTTACCCTTGATGGCCTCTTTCCATTCATCTTGAACAAGGGTAATACACTGGACAGTCTTGAATAAGATGCTTTTACTTTTATTCTCTTCGCCACTGATCAGCTCGTCAGCCATTTGGGCAGTCAGTCATGTTTCTGGTAAGCACTGTTGGTAGATACCTGCTCCACTGTGCTCCAGTGTTGGTCAAGTCTGGCTTTGAATGAGCTCACACTCGGTGCCATTACAATGCTCTCTAGCAGATTGTTCCAAGAACTCGCAATTCTCACTCCAAAAAAGTTTGCCCTCTCAGTTTTCTGGACTTGTGGCTACTTCAATCTTGAACTGTGACCCCTTGTGGGGTGGATGTCCGCCAGCTCCAAGTACAGGTATGTACCTTCGACCGAATAGTGCTCCCCGAGATGTTTATACACTTCGATTAGGTTGCCCCTAGCCTGTCTGTCGTCGTATACGAGTGTTAAATCTAAGAGAAAGTCCTCTTCTGCCCCGTGTGAAAATACGAGATGTCTAAACCCCACTGAAATTACATTTCCTTTATGTAAAGAAATCAGACCATTTGATGAATGTATTGAAATAATTATCATATTAATATTTAATAATCTCATTAATCACAGGAGCAGGACCTGTCAATGACCCAAAATCCCTTTAGTCTAACCAAACTCCA